TTGGGTGTTAACATGTGTTAACTATTTCATCTATTGATCGTGAAAAACCTTGGTAATCTTGGATGGGTTAAATCTCAGTTGGTTTTTCAGTTTTTCATGGCTTGGGGACCAAAAAAAAGCTTGACCAAACACACTTTGTGTACAGGCCGATTGAATGATGGGTTTTTGGCTTGGGGGACTCATCTCCAACATCGGCAAAGCTATTTCGATTTTATGACATGTTGATGACCATGTCCCGGGACTACTCATTACTCATTTGCCTTTCCGAATTGTAGAATTTTGTGTGTTTTTGGAAAAAAAATCATGCCCAGAGGATTCGGACACACATTAAAATTGATAGTCGCATGCTCAATCGAGTGAGGCCGAGATCTGGTTTTTGCTGATCAAAAAGACATGGGATTGATTGGGATTGTCTTGTCATAATACCCGTGGTTGATCATCATTTTCACATGTTTTCAACATGGGCGGCCTGGCATTTTTTGGGTAAGTCAAACCGCAAGTTTTTTTGGTCCACCAGACTTAGGACCTGCTGAAACCGACAAAACCAGGGGGCTACATGGGGCTACCTCCCTTGATGCCTATCACTTTGTTGGGTAAACAGTAAACACTCCAGGTGATGCCACCCACACGCTTTCCTGCGGATTTACCTCAGATTGACTTAATCAGCCAAAGATACAGTTCTTTATCTGGGGGGACTCGACTTAGAGCCTTGATATCCCCATTTTTGAAGCTGAAACTCTCTCCACACTTCACGGTGGTTTGCTCTGCCTGCCTTCCGTTGGTAAAAATCCCCAAGTTCGATGTCCTTTTCCCACTTGCTGCTTTATGAGTAAGGGGACACCGGGGACAGCAACATTTTCACAACAAGCGAATGATTCAAATGATACGCCAGACCTCCGAAAAGTCATGGGGATGTCATGGTTGATGGCTGCCAACATCGATATGGGGCCATGGTTTCCCTTGATCTGAGCGGCAACAGGTGAACTTTTTCCTCTACATCCCCCGGGTGAATCGCTTGTTGTTGGCCAACTTCAAATGCCAAACCTATGACACCTCCAGGCGGCTATGGAGCTTTGAAATGGAACAAGTCCATACAAGTCCACCATCCGCCAGCTATGAAGTGTTTAGCGAAAATCAGGGTTATATATATAATATTTATATATTATATATAATGTTTTTTTTCATGGGTTTTGACCTTGCTAGGCCCATACCTAGCACTTGTTTTGTGGTGTAATTTCGACAAATTCAGGCAGAACCTGTAGATGGGTGGTGACGGGCGAATGGCCATCAATTGGGAGGTTAATCTGAGGAAAAATAGGAGGCTTTACCGACGAAAACTGAGCTGTTGCCCGCGATCCCGGAACCTTGACATGTTCTCAGTTCTCCAAAGAGCCGCGGATGTTGTGGGGCCATCGCTATCCACCATTGGTTGCCAGCAACATGGTCACCGGAAATGTGGCTTGTTGCAGGTTGATGTTAGACCCCACGGTGGCATGTTGGGATCGAGACCATGCGTTGTGGCAGACTTTGAGTGACTTGGACGTTTTTTTGGAACGGGAGGAACGCTGGGAGGCTGGGATTGATACATTTGTTGACTCATTCCCAAGATGGTTTTTTCGCTCAAATGGGCAGGGCTTCACTTTTTATTTTATTTTGAAAGGAATCTTTCTTTTTCTGCGCAGAAAAACAACTGTGTATAAATCTGTGTACATACCTTGGAAGAAAGTTTAGCTTCGCAATTGTTTTCATTGTCAGTCCATTTACACTTCCAGCTCGGTGGACCTGAACAAGGATCGGGGAGTCATCACTCATGATCGCCATATCGTCTGGGCCAGCGGCGGCTCAGCGGATGAGCGGATCAGCGGATCAGCGGACCAGCGGACCAGCGGATCAGCGGATCAGCGGATCAGCGGACCAGCGGACCAGCGGATCAGCGGACCAGCGGATCAGCGGATCAGCGGATCAGCGGATCAGCGGATCAGCGGATCAGCGGACCAGCGGATCAGCGGATCAGCGGATCAGCGGACCAGCGGACCAGCGGATCAGCGGATCAGCGGATCAGCGGATCAGCGGATCAGCGGATCAGCGGACCAGCGGATCAGCGGATCAGCGGATCAGCGGATCAGCGGATCAGCGGACCAGCGGATCAGCGGATCAGCGGATCAGCGGATCAGCGGATCAGCGGACCAGCGGACCAGCGGACCAGCGGATCAGCGGATCAGCGGATCAGCGGATCAGCGCACCAGCGGATCAGCGGATCAAAGCAAAGTTCTAGAACGTACTTTTCAACCTGTCTATATCTACAAAGGCAATCTTGCTCAGTGACCTTTGCCTGCCAGGAAAAGGTCTCTCCTGCAAGCACCTTCTGTACAAGTAGCATGCCTTCCGCTTTCACAAGGCCGCTGCCCCTGCTCCGGGTTTTGTGGTGTCAGTGGTGGTTTTGCAGCTTGATTTCTGACACTTGCACCACGTGACATGACCAGCGATCACGGACGTACTTTTCAACATGTATATATCGGCAATCTTGCTCAGTGACCTTTGCCTGCCATGAAAAGGTGTCTCCTGCAAGCACCTTCTGTACACGTAGAATGCCTTCCGCTTTGACAAGGCCGCCGCCCCTGCTCCGGGTTTTGTGGTGTCAGTGGTGGTTTTGCAGCTTGATTTCTGACACTTGCACCACGTGACATGACCAGTGATCACGGAAAGAGTTCGCAGCTTGTGCCCCTGCTGTGCCTTTATTTTCAAACAGGAGAGAGAACCATGACCATGCGCAAACGTATCACACTAAGACAGTCCATACATTTCGCCGCAAGGCTGAGAAGAGCAACCAGAAACAAACCACGCAACTGCAGAGCCCAAGACCTTCTCTCCCGCCTGCGACTCTTCCTTTTCATGGCGCACGGGTTTAGCCAAGCTCTGATTGCTGAAGCCATACGAAATGCAGACCCGGCTGCGCAGATTTCAGATGGTTTGGTTGTGCATCTGGCAGCTGAGCTGCAACCTCTCTTCTCGACCAGAGTTGCTGCCTACGGTAGAGAAACTTGTGCCCAAGAGTTGCTCCCCTTGCCTCGGAGCTGTTCTGCGTGCAAAACCCGGCTAGCTGAATGCAGAGGTTCTGCCACGCCTGCGGCAGTGATAGACCTTTGTGGAGTCGTTGAAAAGCTGCATGTTCCACTGCGGTGTAGAAAGCCTTCATGCCCGGAGTTTGGGGTGCTTCTTTGGTACAACTACTGCGTACGCAAAGGCAAGCATGTGTTCCAGGGAGAGCTGCCACTCTTGCAATGTTTCATGCTATCCTCGAGCTTTGGTTTTAGTATCCCTTGGCTGCGCCAGTTCCACCTGCGTTTGGTGCGTCAGCACGCATCATTCACGAGTGAAGCCGACGTACTGACGGCGCAAGCTGCCACCAATTCGCAGCTGCATCGTCTCCCCACTTCACGCTTGCGGCTGCTGATCAGCCAGGGATGGTTCACCTGGCGCTTGCTGACGCGTGGGCTTGAAGCCGGCTTGGATTTGTCTGTGGTAGATTTTCAATCTCCCATGGAGGACACGGCGTGCAGGTTCTTGGGTCCATTGCAAGCAGCATTCAGCCGGAAGGCCGTGGAAGGTGCTCAGCGTGCCAAAATGCGGTGCGATGTTATTGTTTTAGATGGCAATGCAAAGAACCGGAGGGCAGTCTGCGCCGCTGCGCTGGCGGGATGTTCTTACTCTCCAACCCTCCGCAGAACTTTGCGCCACACCTGCACAAAAACGCCTGCTTTCAAGCATTGCTTTTGCTTGCACCATTGTGAAGCTCCTGGCGCAGATCGTTCTCACACAGTGTCTTGGCTCGAATCCTCAAACATTTTCAGTTTTGTTTGCCTTCTCCTTCCGTGGGCTACTTTTTTGAATTAAAACCCCAGGGCTTCAGCGTCGGTGCTTGGGTCTGTGCTCGCGTTTGCAGGATGTTGAGATTCTACAACACAAGTCTATCAATGATGGGCAGCAACTGATGGTTTTGCTCCAGGAAACGACCGAACCTCGCAGGGAGGCTTGGGTCTTGGATTCCGCCGTGCCAGACACTGTCTTGAGCAAGTACTTGCGGCAAGTTGGGGCGGAGAAGCTGAAACTTCGCAAGCGTACTCATGAACCCCAACCTTCAGACACTGCAGGGCCTTCTCCCGCACCGCCGCTGTTGCAGGCGCAGGTTGAACCCGTGGCAGAGCTTGAGCAATGTTCAGATCCAGCGGATTTAGCGTCTGTTGCATGTTCAACGCACAAGGAAAGCAGTACTGCCCAGAGGCAACTTGCCAAGTCAGCGGGCATGCTTTGCGTATGCTTGTCCGAGGGCCTTATTTTGCACATGCAAGAGATTTATGGCTGCGAGTCTCTGAGCCAGCGCTACTTCTGCGTCGCTGCTGTCAAAGCTTTGCTGCCGACCCTGACGACAGTGGTGCACGATGATGCGTGCCACTTGCACAAGTATTGCGCGCGTCGAGCAGCGCACTCTCAAGCTGCGGCGCAGTTGTCGCCACCTCACATGACCTTTGTCTGCGACAAGTTCCACATGGCAGGCCACACGGATGCTTGGTGCAAGCAAACATGTGACCCGGAGCTCCCGTCCAACTCCGCTCTTCTCGCTGGTGTCAGGACTTCAGTTTGCGAGTTCACCTTCACATGGCTCAGCAAATACAAGCACCAAACCAAGCACATGAACGAATACGGTTTTCAGTTCTTCTTGCTCGACATGGCGTGGAGCCACAATGAAATCATTTTGCAGGGAGGCTACAGGCCGGAGGAGGTAGCTGGCTCTTTGGATGCTGAGGATGTTGCGTAGCAAGCCAAAAATGTTCGGACGCTTAGGGTTTGAAGTTTGGGAGCGCCATAGGTACGTAGAACGGGCTGTGTGGTGCTTGTAACATGTGACCATCTTTTGCTAGATCAGGTTGATTTTAGAATTGTGGTGCGGCTTTAGGTAGCCTGGTTCAAATTTGGTAGTTCGCAGCTTCTCGTGCGGAGCCATGTCCGGGGCTCCTGACGATGGGCAGTACGTGCCCGCCATGAAGCTGATGTGGGATGAGGTGGACAGACGTTTTGACCCCAAGTATGTCCTTGGAGAAGCCGGCCACCAGTTTTGCCAAAGCTATTCTGTCAGAGCTGCGCATCCTGAATTTCCTTACGCTTTGCATTGTCTTTCTTTGATGTGTGCTTTGGCGAATGGCGCGCGGGTCGCCATCTTTGCCACAGCACCGTCGCCTCTGACTTTGGTAGCGGTCAATGTCAACTATGCCCAGACCAGAAAGTCTTCCATGACTGGACACGCAGAGGCTTTGGGGCAAGAGTTGGACACAGTCATCTTGGAGAATGCGATGTCCAAGCTGCAGCAGGAAAGCTTTGAGGAGGGAGCGGCTCAAGTCCTGAGGCGGGGCTTTTCAAAGTCCAATTGCCCCCCGCTGACCATGCGTGAACAGTTTCCTAACCTTGTGTTAAATTTTCACGTGTTTCTAAATCTTTGCCAGGAACCAAAAGACACAAGTGACCCCGCTGCTGCAGGTATTTGAAGCCAAGAATCGCTTCTGCGACTGTTGCCAGCGCCACACCGGAAGAATGGTTTCACCGTTGCTCTGCTGACTGGAACCAAGTCCGCAACGCAGACAAGCTGCCAGGAGATTGGTCTGGGCGTTGCTGGTACGGCTTGCTAGGCAACTTTGATGAAGCCTACGACTTCTTGCTGAGCCTTGGCCTGTTGTCCGACTCAAATGCAACAACGAGAGAGAAATCAAAAAGCAAAGTCAACCCGTACCAGAGCGCGTTCAACAAGCTCTTGCAATTTGGGTCTAGTGCTCGTGCCACCAAGACGGCAGGGAGCTACGGTGAGAACCCTGGTAAAACCATAAGCTTGGGCATCACTTGCAACATGCACCCGGCCTTCTACATCCCAATGGAGCGGGGCGAGCTTGGAAGCCACGCAGCCTCCACCAAGGAAAGGTTCCTCATCTCCACTGGCCGCCCTGTTCAACCACATGAGGACATCCCCGCAGACTTTTGCTTGCCGGAAGGACGGGGTCGATTCTTGCACTGTTACATGCTGGATATAGCGCTCACTTCTCGGTATTAAGGCATGTAAAGCACAAACACTGTCATGAGCCTGTCAGTCTTTGTGGATTTTCTGAGTTGAGACGCGTGCAGGAGTCTCGCCATACAGGTGGGTCCCCCTCACTCCTGAGATTGCAGACCTCATTGGGGTTGCTAAAGAAGCAACATCGCCAGACGCAGCTGCCCAAGAATGGGCAGAAGCTGGGCTTGAAGACGAAGCCGCGGCCCAACTCACCCAAAATGCTGCCGGTGAGTATGTGCCGTCGGAAGACGGCTACCTTGTCAGGCTCTTAGATGACAAGCTGACCCGCATCCGCTTCAGGCGATCAGAGGCAGCCCCAAACGGCTTTGAAGCAGAGTGGAGGGTAGCGAACCGAAACTTTGCAATCCCGGAGGTATGCCGTTTGAGAAATTGCGTGACTAGGGTGGCCACCTATTTCGCAGCGCCACACCAAGTTATCACTTTGACTTCGGAGGCTGAGTCATGGCATCTGTCTTACCAGGGAGCAATGAATGTCCAAAGCCACGTGGTTCGTGATACTGGAGACATCCAAGCTGGGGCTCGCTTCGGGGCGGCGCCTTGGCAAGTAGGGGTTTTAGCTGCTTTGCTCCTGGTCTTCGAAATCTTTGTCGGCGCCCACTCCCCTGCAGCGCTGGAGGGGCGAGCTTTGCAGGTTACACCCGGGCACTTGCAGCGGGCGTACGCCTTGCTTCAATTGGCTCCTTGGCCGCGTTATTTTGAGTGTTCTGAACGTCACCTTGTTCCCCATGTTCCATCCAGCCTGACGTATTGTCGCAGACCAGGTGCAGCGTCTGAAGCACATTGCCCTTGGAGATGCAGCAGCCAGCCCAGACCTACCGCCGCCGCAGGAAGACGTCCGTGCGGATGATTTGGGCGCCTTGCGCATCCCCTATGTGCCTGAAGACTTTGCTTCGACCCAAGCTGGCGCAGGTATTCCAGAGGTGGGCGATGACGAAGAAGGTGACGAGGCTGCAGAGGAGTCGCCGGAGGAACATGTGCCAGAACTGCCAGCACCAGTGGGCAATCCAGGACTGCCGGAGCCAGAACCTTGCGCAGCCGTGAAACCTTTGACCCTGCAGGATGTTCGAGCCAGTGATTTTGGGTTTGGAGACAATGGTGTCACTGTCCCTGACGGCTTGCATAGCCGGAATTTCACCGATAGAACTGTTTTGAAGCAGACCCTTCTTGCTGGCAAACCGAAGATCACTAGGAAAGAGGCTTGTGACAAGATGCGCTTCGAACGAGGGCAAGGACGCAAAGCGCTTCCCAAAGAAAAATGGGTTGCTGTCATGAGGGCTGCAGCTTCCCAATTTCCCGACTTGCTCCGCCTTGACGGAGAGATTTTGTGTTTGAAAATGATTCCCGACACTGCAGCAGGCAAGGTCGCGTACCACAACGACCTCATGAGAGCTTGCCGTCTAAGCCTGCGGGAGTTGATTGCTGCTATGGACAAAGCAGCTGAGAAGAAGGAAGAGCGCCGTGCAAAGCGAGCCAGGGTGGATGACTGAGGCAAGCTGCTTGGGCGCATTGATCCCGTGTAGGATGGTGCCAGCTGCCAACAGAAGTCGGGTTTAAAAGAGCGGCTGCCTGCAGCTGACAACTGGCCCCTGTTCTGTTGTCATCCATCTTCACAAGACAGGTTGAGACCCAGCCCTTTCAGATTTTCCATGCAATGCATCTTCCCTGCCTGCTTTGTCTAGGCATTTCTTCGCCATCCAGCCCTCCTTCTTCTTGTGCATCTTGGTGGCACAAGACTTGGGCGGAAAGCCTTGCAGGAAGGGTTGGCCAAGAAGGGCGCCCACAATCGCTCGTGCTGCATACTTCCTGCTTCATGCTTTTGGCTTGACTACTAGCCTGTAACCTGATATTATCTAAGGTGCGAGACTTGCGCAAGGACAACGGGGGAACCGACTTACGACTTGTGGTTGGGATCTCCCATTTCAGGGGCCATGGTCGATAGCAATGGGAAAACGTGGTTGAAGCTGCGGATTGTTTTGATGACAAGCGGCCTCAGTGCGCTGTTAAGTCTCGATCAGCGGGTCAGCTGAACAGCACAGGGGAGCGGATCAGCTGATCAGCGGATCAGCGGACCAGCGGATCAGCGGACCAGCGGATCAGCGGACCAGCGGATCAGCGGATCAGCGGACCAGCGGACCAGCGGATCAGCGGACCAGCGGATCAGCGGATCAGCGGACCCAGCGGACCACCGGATCAGCGGATCAGCGGATCAGCGGACCAGCGGACCAGCGGACCAGCGGACCAGCGGACCAGCGGATCAGCGGACCAGCGGACCAGCGGATCAGCGGATCAGCGGACCAGCGGACCAGCGGATCAGCGGATCAGCGGACCAGCGGACCAGCGGATCAGCGGACCAGCGGACCAGCGGACCAGCGGATCAGCGGATCAGCGGACCAGCGGACCAGCGGACCAGCGGATCAGCGGATCAGCGGATCAGCGGACCAGCGGACCAGCGGATCAGACAGCCCCACGATCATAAGTCGGAGTCATGGCCCAAAAAACAGATATAACTGGGATTATTTCAATATATATATATAATTAATTATATATAATTATATATGTGTATATATATATATTTATATAAATTATATATAATTATATATATATATACATATATATATATATACACATATATATATATACATATATATATATACATATATATATATAACACCTTAGTTATAGGAGTTATTTCATCATATTTATGACTGTCAAGGGCCACAACTGCAGGGAAACCATGGGCACACAGTACTCACCACAGGAGCCTTTTTTGAGGGTTTATTTCATGGAATTTCCATCTATAAATGGATGATTTGGAGTTACCCCCATTTTTGGAAACCTCCAAAAATAACAGTTTTTTCTGCCTGAGAATGGGCCATACCAAGTTTTTCCAAGAGCAAAAAGTGGTTTTCCAATCCCCAGAACTGGCCATGGTCTATGGTCTATGTATGATCTGTCTAGCTTTTGGAGGCACCAGAATCTTGAATAGTCTACATGGCCAACCCATAATCAACCTCCAAATTTCGAAGGTTTCAATCCCACCCCATTTCTGGTGAAATTTGGGATGGTTTATGGCTTTGGGACATGAAAAATTGGCGAAGTGTCCTCTCTTCCCGCAGCCAGTGTCGGAACGAAGCTTCAGGTTGGATTGGCATCGGAGTGTTTTCGGTGGGTGGACCGCTTCTGCTCTATCTGATTTTGAGGCGGAAAAAACTGGCTGCCCTGCTGGGCAGCCAGGGGTAGCCAGGTGAGACTGGCGAGATTGCCAGGGGCTCACTGAATATCCTGTTTTATGTCCTTCAAACATAAGTGTTTTTTTTGGGGTTGCAACATATTTTGCAACACTTTCACATACATTGAGGCATCATCCCTTTTGGGGCTGAAATGCAGAAATGGTGGACGGCTTAGCCGGCTTAGCATCTTTCATTTTTTTGGCACCCCGAAGCGATGCAAACGCAAGATTCGGGGATCAGATGGGTATATATTGGGATAATTGGTTGGTAAATGGATGGTTTATCGATATAAAGCCAAGCATAAATGGGAATACAATAGATGTATAGAATATATTGGGATAAACTATCACAATTCTGATTGGTGGATTCAACCCATCTGATAAAAATAGGAATGTCATGAGAGATTTTGACCCGCAACGACTGGGCCAGCCTATGTACTCGTTAGGTTTAGGTATACAGTATCTAAGCTTGGCAATTTTTCCGGTTAGCCCATCATTCATTGCTATACTCCCTATGTTTTAGCAGACAGAATTTCTTGCTAGTTGATTTCCCATGTTTCATTGGTATCAATCCAATTCCCTCCATTTTCCAGCTGGAAAAACATTCAAAAAAACCTTGGTAGCAATAAACCTCCAGTAAACCAACAGTTCGCTACAGATGGCCCATATTTTTCTTCATGGTGATTTTCCAGTTTTCTAACATTTACCAGTTCGCTATGCTTCGATGATTTTTGCCGTTTTTTAGCATGATGATGAAATCCAGTTCGCTAGGCGCTATGAGCACCGGCAACTGCTTGGGACCTACAGAGTTTTGAGGACCTACGGTTCCTCAGCATGTTTTGGGTTGGATAGGTTGGATGGTGGCAGATTTACCAAAAAAATGGGGGGGCGATGGTTCGATGGGTATCCAATGGAGATTCAATGGATATGAATGGACAACATCATAAATGACATATATATATATGATTATATATATGATTATATATATGTAGGCACTAATTGTTATACATATTAATATTTATATCTATTTTTTCGGTTGGTTGATGCTTTAATAACGTGTTTTCCGCCGATCTTTATATGTGTTTTTCGCCCTCAGGCCCGAAAATTCCGGGTGAAATGTGTTGGATCCATGGTTCCATGGGATGGGATAGAAATGATGAGTGGCTACACCAAATTCCCATGGGATTTGTGGATTTCATTGATGTCATTAATCCATAATTAATTAATCCATTATCCCAAAATCATGAAAAAATCCACAGAACATCTGGAGTTTTTTTTTTAATGTTTTTTTTTTTTTTTAAATGGTACACCAAATTCATGACTTTCGCGATGCTTTTTGGTCGGCAGAAAACTACAGATGGTCTGGGTACCCTAAGTTTGATCCCTGGATCGATGCATCGAAAAACCGAAGCAAGACACATTTCCCCCAAAAAACGGCTGAGATTGAAAACTAAGAGCTTGAAATTCACATTGAACCCATGATATTCTATACACCAATTGTATTCTCATTTATGTTTGGCTTTATATCGATAAACCATACATTTACCAACCAATTTGTTTTTTTAATTCTCCTGTCATCCGGCTTCCCGAGGCTTCTTGTTTGCAGGTTTCGAGCCAGACTTCTACTACTTCGAGCCTCGGTCGTTATGTGGGAAAAAAACCACCAAGTCTTTGTTGCTGAGTTATTACTAGCCTGGGCTTTACCCCCTGGTAAATGAACAGTTGGACCCTGAAAATCACCCATTTTTAATGGAAACTAGTCTGAACCAACCCCGATGACTGCCAGGGTCTATGTTAATTTACTGGAGGGTAATGGGATTTCATAATCAACACTGGGGATTCATTTTTCCATCTACCCTCCGGCGTCATCAAACATGGCTGGAAAATCTCTGAACTCGACATCGAACAGACATGATCTATATGGGAACATCGTGTACGAATAAGGGATTTTCCATTCCCACGTTTGATTACCTGAGGGTATATGGGGTTATATTATGTTATATTACCAGGCTGCAATTGCTTGTCATGGCTTATGGAACTCCCAATCAACCAGCCAGAAGGAGTGCCGAAGAAGGTAACATGGGTCAAAATATGGGTTGGGATACAGAGCCCAAATACCAAGCTGTGGATTATACTACGTCGTTGGGACTACGTTCTGGAAACGAAACCAGCCAGTATCATGGGGTTATACCATTTGTGGTTGGCTTTGATCAACGGAGAGTGGCGGAGCTAGCGGCTGTCATTTCATGTCCCACAGGTGCACTGTTGGAAGTTGAAGAGCGGCTTTTGTTTGAGCATATTCCCGCATTGCCAAGCATCCGTCAACCAGAGGGGAGTGGAACCCCCATTTGCTCTTGTGCCAGAATTGGTTGAAGTATGTTGAAGTATACCATTTGATGGATTTTGAATGATTTTGATCGATTTAGATCCAGATTTCCTCTCAGTTTCCGACTTGAAAATCCATCCATTTCTTGGATGTGCATCCCAGCTAGTGATGTTAGTGCCCGGTTTATTGCGCTTGATTTCTAACCCATATCAAAGCCATATAGTATTATAGAACTGGGACATGGTATTCCCTGTATTTAGAAGCCATTTCCAACCCATCTCCAATAGCCATCCTTTTTTGTTACACAGATCCGATCTCGGATGTTACACAGATCTTTTTTCGCCACCAGCACCAAGTTGCCTTGCCTTGCCGACGTACCGCTTTTTACCGTCGCGTTACCGACCACTTAGGAGTGTGTCTACATGTTTCGCAAGCTGTGCTTCGAGTTTGTGATGACCATGCCCGGAATGACCTCGGAGAACGAGGCGAAATGGCTGGGTCAGCCGAAATGGCTGGGCTAAGCCGTAAACCTGTTGGAGGTTTGACATAAGCACTGAATCGAACTGTTCGAACTTTTTGGCTGGTTGGTGGTGACTGGAACATGTTTTTTTTCCATTTGTTGGGAATGGAATAATCATCCCAACTGACGAACTCCATCATTTTTCTCAGGGGTAGGTCAACCACCAACCAGTATAGTTACTCATGTGGTTAAAACAATGCCAACCACCCCATTTTTCATGGTCTATACCACCCATAAATTTATGGTGATGACGATGACTGGGGCATGGTTTATGAAATTGTTTTAACCATCATTACACCGGTATTACCCTCTGGTAAACATACTACATAACATAACTATGGACAATCACCATTTTATAGCTGGCTAAATCCACTATTTCAATAGCCATTTTCAATAGCTATGTAACAAATTACCAGAGGGTATCTCCCATAAATCACCATATGTCCCATATTTTTTCCAATAAATCACCATTTTCCATAGCTATTTTGACATAACCAGAGGGTAATGGGACATGGCGAGGAGATCTTGGGTCGCATCAACAGCAGCAGTGTGGCCTTCGTGGCGTCGGTGTTCTTCGCGTTGCACATGGCGTGCCAACCCTACGACAACAGGCGAGGTCAAGGGCGGAGCTGGGGCAGAAGGGGTTGATGGGGGTGGGGGACTTGGGATAGCCGGGATACACTACGTATATATATATATGTATTATGTATCTAATATATAAGAATATATATATATATATGTATTATGTATCTAATATATAAGAATATATATATATATACATATATATATATATATGTTTTATAATATTTAATGCGCGTTACGTCCCACTTGATATCCTGATACAGAAACTTGTTTATGTTTGTTGTATGCATACACACACACATAATAACATATATATAATATACTCCCATGCTCATTGAGTCATACCGGACCTAAAAGAAACATTGTAGGTTTCGTTAATCTAGCTACTACTATTGTTAGATTTGATTTTATCATTCTATCCTATCCCGTTGCCAGGGATTACTTCATCCTGGATCACATCGAGACTGCCTCGCTGCGTGCCATTTTGGTCACCGCCTTTCTGCAGTTGTGGTGTCTCAATACGACACTGGGACCCCTTTTTGGACGGCTGGTGACCAACAACACACCTTACGCATGTGGATCACAGCTGGGATCCAACAGGAAGCTACAGAAAAAATTGGATTCAACATACCAAAATCACTGGATTGGTTTAAGGGAAAATCTTAACCGGAAACCATGGTTTTTACCATCAAATATAGGGCTTTCCTGTAAATGTTCCCATCATCCAATTCTATGACAAAAAGGGCCTTTGAACAACAGAAAATTGAAGGCTTGCACAGCAAACTGGGGGTGAATTGGAGGCGTAGCCAAAATTGGAGGCATAGCCAACCGGGTCACCACTAGGAGATGACCAATTTTGGTGCAGGTTTTAGGTCGCCATTTGGCCGAAGTTCTTCCATTGGAAGTTAGGCGATATGGGACTCTAGTAACCAGGTCAAATGGCAACAATGATGCTCACGGAACCACTCCCCCAAGAGAATAGCGTAAAACCATGTCAAAACCTGGGAAAAAAGTCTGATCAGTCTGAAAACATGATCAAATCTCCATCCAATCTCCATTCTTCATCCATTCTTCATCATTCTTCATCATTCTTCATCATTCTTCATCATTCTTCATCATTCTTCATCATTCTTCATCATTCTTCCCGGTATGGTCCGTTCAATTCTTGACACCCTGAAGCATTCCAGGAATGAGGCGGATGGCATCCTCCATAACACGTGGCTTCGGGAGGTCCGGAACGTCATCTGAGCCTCGCCAGAAGGGATGTCCAGCCATGAAGGATATAGAAAAGATAGGGATATACCCTCTGGTAAATTAACATAGACCCTGAAAATAGATGAAAATAGCCTAGTTTTGATGGAAACTAATCTTCCAACCCCGATGACTGCCAGGGTCTATGTTAATTTACCAGAGGCTACTTTCTGAAATACTGATGATATACTTGAGAAATGATTTTTTTGGGTTGATGATTGCAGTACCTACACTTAAACCTACTGTAGGTGGCTATACGATGATTTTTTTCATCTCCTTTTTCTACTAAATGGCCATGACCATTTCGTTGATGATTACAGTAGGCCAAAATGGCTCGCCATGGCCCATCGGTTCAGCACGATGGTGATCTTCCAGTCAAGGGAACATGGCTAGGACTGGATGTTTGGATGGCACCCCGGATGATTGTTTTTTGGTACCCGATATGATGATGGAAGAGTCTGAAAAATGTAGAGACTTGGCTTGGCTTCGACCATCCAACTCACTGGGATTCGTCGGATTTCGGCTGCAAGGTACTGTCGTGATCCTCTTATTCCACCTCCGTTTGGGGGCCTGACCTTGGCGGAAGAGACCAAAACGGGGGAGATCGCCAGATGCAAAACGGGGTCAACAAAAAGCCGTTCAGTCGTTGGAAATTTAGGAGAAACTGTAGTTTTTCTAATCAGGCATGGGATTTCCTTTCAATCTTCCTGAGATTGGCCCACTCACTTTTGGTGAGTCGCGATGAACAAGTGCACAGCCGAACTCTTTTGGGATCAGTGATTCTACTGATTTCAATTTTTCAACCACTAAACAGTACCAGTACCACTTATTGACCTATTCCACATATCATCCCCCCCAAAAAAAACCCGTTGAACTGGCGGAGAATGTTCGAGCGCATCGAGGCTTCTTCTGGCTCTTCTTCTATGGCATCGCCCGCAGGAGGATCCAATCGTGCATCTCTGCGTGTCGAGGTGGAAAAATCATGGAACACATGTGACATGTGGGATGAGCTGCAGATAGCCGCGGGCTTAAGATTATTAGGATATATACATATATATATATACCATTTGTATCCATTTGTTGGAATGGGACAATATGAACCTTATAGATATTTTTCTGTTACAAACAATATTAAAACACTATAAACAACATTGTCTACGGATGTGATATTAGACAACTCCAAACTTAACACGGAAACCGAAGAACAACAAATGGTCCTGAAGGATCTTGGCAATTTTTATGGGTCCGTGTAGCCAGTAGTGGGTCCTTTGGATATGATTTCGAACGCCCCTAATCAGCCAAACCTTGGGCGTTTTTTGTCCCTGGAAATGATGACATGTGACCGCGGGAAAAGCGTCAAGATTGGTACGTCAGAAATATGTCAGATAACATGTATGAAAATATGTGGGAAGAAATGTCCGAAAAATCAATGTCAGTACATATGTTAGTAATTGCGTCAGAATGGATGTCAGACTATATGTCACCAGATACATCTGTGTTTGACTTCATTTTGCAATATATAAGCAGCAAGTGTCGGATTTTCTATGTCATGTTGAGTGTTGCATGAAGTAAGTAATCTCATATATATATATATATGTACACATACGCCCTTCAGTAATCTAACATAGCTATGGCATACTATGGAACATCACCCAATTCTAGATGAATTACCGGTGACCAATTTTTTTACATGGTGATTTAAAGCAAACTGTTAAATGGAGGGTATCTATGTAAATAGCATTAACTAGCCAGAAAGCCATGGAACTGTGGGACGTCCTCCAAAACACCAGGGCCGGGCCGTGAGACTCGTGAGACTCGCCAGGCCGCGACTTTTCCCACGGCATCGTCAAGTTCGTCCCAGATGGCTTGCAGCTACACAACCTCAACGGGAAGGAGGAGAGCCAGCTGAGCGAGCTGTGGGGAGAATCCCTGGGCCCATGAATGATGTGAACAGAAAAAAAATGATATGGGACATAAAACCAGCCATTTCGGACATAAAGGGGAAATTGATGGGATGATTATATATGATTATGGGATAAGTATGAGATAATTATGGACAATTATGGTATCCCCAATTGGGGTTTATTTGTTAGATAGGTATACCGTTGCCTGATCCGGGATGACATAGAAATAGCTCCCCGCAAACAGGTCCGATACTAATCAAGGTTGCTAAGGAGGTATTTGATAGAATATTATTAGGGGAGGTATGAATAAAAACCTTATGCCCCACCTATATTAATTTAATTTAATTTACCTGTACGGAACATCCCCCAAAATTATTCATGTATAGAAATACGCCCCAAAAAGATGCCGAAAAGTAAAATCCTACTCAAAGAATGTTATAACTGATGTTAAATTACTTTTCTATCTTCCTGGGGGTTACTATATATGTATATTATACAAATATACATATATTTATGTATACTCTTCTTGGGGGTCTCTCTATACAATGCATTTTACGGGACCATAACTGGCGATCCCTTGAAATAAGCGATGGCGAATCTCCGCTCAGGAGATGCTGTTGAAGACGCTGGTCTCCGAAATCTTCGATTTGCACATGCAAGCGTGGCCTGTTCCAAAAATGCCCTCGCGGTGTCAATGGGGAAAAACCCCTTCGTATAGCTCCCCAAATGGCAGGTTTTTAATGGGGATGATGATGATGATGATGATGATGATGAGGAGGAGGAGGAGGATGATGGTGAAGAGGAACCATTTTTTCCTTGGACGAACCAATTTTACTCTCGGGAACCAGCCTCAAAATCTTATGAACGTTCAAGTTGGCTGGGGATTTCTTCTGACGTGTGAGTACAACTGTGCTTTCACGCCAGAATAGAATGGTCCCATCTTGTTTCTTCCAACTTTGGTGGATTTGGGTGAACTTGAGTTTGAACATGTGGAGCCGGAAGATGGTGAAATACACCTGGGCAAAATCAGTCTAATGGTGTATATAAACATGAGAGACTTGCTCCAAGGCCAAGGGTTGACATTGGCTTGGTGGTTGCAACAGGTTTCACACAATGGTCCATTTTCCATGATTTGGTTTTCTTTCATCCCAAATTGAGATGTTTTTAATTGAAGGTGTTGGTTTTTCTATCCACCCGACATACATTTTTTGGGGGGGGATGGGTAGCCAATTTCCATCCACAAGCCCTCCAGGAAGAGGAAGATTGCGTACGACCAATGGTCAGGTCACTTGGGCTTAGCGGTGGAGTAGCGGCGCAATCCTCCACCAGTTGATGCAGGATTTCGCAACCATCCACAGTGTTTTTTTTTGGGGGGTTGAAAATCCAAATCTGGAAAAAGACTCGACATCTTTCCGGAAAAGTTGGAACTCCATTCGGAAACCAAGGCTTGAAACTCGCATTTACCCATGATTCAATGGCAACGGCAGTTTTCCTGCATGGTTAAAGCCCCAGAAAATACTTGGCAAAACCCTGATTTTGATGATTTTGCTGGTTGAACTCACCATTTCTTTTGAGAAATCCCACCAGCTATGGTCAACAATTCCACTTTTCATCACTTTTCATTCCAATTTTATAGGCTTGTCTGAAAACTGGGTACCACCAAATTTTTTCTGCTTCATATTCATTTTCCCAACGAAAATTGCCATATGTTGGGAACAAAAAATCCCAATTCTCCACACCTAAATGTCATATATTGTCAGTTATATCATTATGTCCCTATTATATCGCCATTCTCCGTGGTTAAATGTGAATCCACCAGTTTTCCATAGTCAAATCCACATTTTCCTTAGTTAAATTAATCCGTTTCTCTATTTAATCCAATTTCTTCCTAGTTCAATCAGCATATTCCCTAGTTAAATCCAATTTGCCCGTAGTTAAGTCGACAATTACCTTACTTGAATCAGCATATTCCCTGTGAAATCCAAACTTTCCCCAAGTGAAATCCTAATTTTTCATGGGTAACTCCCTCAAATTCCCCATTTTCTATGGTAAATCCCGACATTTCCCCATTTTTTCCCCATGTTCGTTCCGCTTTTCGTTGCTCAGTTCCAAGGCAGTTTGCAGATGTTATGCCTGGAGGCCAGGCGTCAGCACATCGAGAACGAACTGCTGGCACTGGTGCCTGGGAAATCCATGGGGTCGGGAAATATCTGGGAGCTATTCCTGGGATATTTTTCTGATAGTTTAGTAATGTTTAGTAAATCTGATTTGGGATTCATAGGATGGTCTCTAAATATAACTATATATATAAAATGTCAACCCTGGATTAATAAACCCCTGCGCTGTTTAATTGGGAGGGTACCATTTAAGTATCAGATTATGACTATTGGAGAAGTACCCCCCTAATTAATAAACCATGGTTTATTAATCCGGGGTTGACATTATATGTATGTATATGTATATATATATAGGATGTTATAGGGGAAAAAATAACTCCTGAAGTGTTGGACTCGATGACAGGGATAGCAGCTGGACGTCATCAGCTCCATGGCAAGCTGGAGAATCCACGAAGAAAATCGAGGTTTTAAATGGTTTTGATGGGAAAATCAACAGTACCCTCTGGTAATTTGTTACATAGCTATTGAAAATGACCATTTATATATAGTGGATTTACCCATTGAAAATGGTGATTTTCCATAGTTATGTTAGTTTACCAGAGGGTAGAAGGACATTGAATACAGTAAATGTACACAGATTTCACCGACGGAAATGATGGTAAATGATTAGGTCGGGGACATTTCACCCGGTAGATGATATGTGCGATGGTCCAACTTATTTGGATTAGATCTGAGTGTAATTGTAAGATGGTCGTCTATGCAGTCATAGGGATTTATACGTGCACTGCAAGGAATCCCAATATATTAATTGTTGAATAGAGGGCTATTTACCATCCGTTTGTGTTAGGTAAACATAAATCCAATAACTAGGGTTCATGGCAGATAAACAGAACTAGTTAACGGGGTTGCAGTATTTTGCCGCCAAGAAGGGAGGGACATTCAATAAGGCAAATATAGGGGGATTTGACAACTAGGGAAAATAAGGATATACTATAATACTATATCGATCTATATCGGATATATATATATATATGTATATATATATACACTTATATAGAATTATATACACAGAAAATTATGGGGATATTCCCCGAAGCATATGAATGATATTTGGCTTTGTAAATGGGGATACTCTTCACCATCTTTGGCTTCAATTTTAAGTTGGAGCCATGAAATCCCATGGGGGTTGAGTCGTTCAAGAATCACAAACGGCAAGCGATACATGGATATGAATGGTATACCACCAGACCCGGCCCATCCTCTAGTTTTGCCAATTGGACATGGTTGAAATGTGAGGACAAGGTGGGCAACACCCTGCGATCCTGGAGGGAAATCAGCCGCAAGCTCTTCCATGGCTCAAGGGTGGGCCTCATCTTTGAGAGGCTGGGCATCCGTTTTTTCTTTGGGAAACTGATGGATGGATGCGATTTTCATTCAACTTGCAAGGTGGGATGGCACACTTTTAGATCATACCCGCGGTTGAAAAAACCGATGTTTTTGAGTCGACCCCCTGTCCCATGGGTCCCATGGGGTCAGGATCTTCGATCGCATGGAGAGCGCCTATGGTTTGGTGTCCAAGAGTGGCAGCTATGAAAATTCGAAGAAACAGAAGGACAAGGAATTGGAGGCGCGTCGTCAAAGAGTGCTGATCCGGGTGTGGTGTGCCGTGAAAGAACCACGGATTTTTCAGTTTTTCTATGTTTTTATTGACTACCCTCTGGTAAACTAACATAGCTATGGAACATCACCATTTTTAATGGGAAAACTCAGTATAAATGGCCATTTTCAATAGCTTTTTGTATGTTTACCAGAGGGTAATTAGTGGGTATGCTAGAGGTTGCTAGTTTAAAGAATCTCCAAAGTTTGGGTCCATTGGACACCTGTTGGGGCAAGTGTTCGCTCCGAACCCAGAGAGAGAAACCATGAAACCGAACACATATTATGTAGGCCATAACTTGGCCATTTCTAGCCGGAAAATCCTCTTCCAAAGCCAATTTTGCGGGGTTTCCATCTTGAAATTTCAGGGATGCCATGTCAACCCCGGAATAATACCCCCATAGGTGGTTTCATTGGGCGGTTCCATTTCAATAGCAAAATCCTGCAAAATGTCACCTGCATTGGGCGGTTCCGTTTCAATAGCCACATCAAAATATCACTTTTGGATACCTTTGGAAGATACCCTCTTGTTCCAGTGGTTTCAGACATTCTGGAAATTTTCCATCTTACGATGATTCAATCTCAATCGACTATCATCATTTTGGGGTGAAACTCACCATCCGGAAGTCAACTTTTCAAAGGACCTGAAGATCTTCTGTGCCGACTCCTTGAACAAGATCTTGAACAAAGAGTGCCTGGGGAATGCCTGGGATCTGTGCTGATCTGTCCTGGTTCCTGGTTGGGGCATGCTAATAATCACTACAATTACCCTCTGGTAAACATACAAAAAGCTATTGAAAATGGCCATTTATAGTGAGTTTTCCCATTAGAAATGGTGATTTTCCATAGTTATGTTAGTTTACCAGAGGGTACTGCAAGTATGTTGAGCAACAGAATGAAGATCATGATCACTGGCTGCCCTTCAGGATGCGCCTTGCCACTGGTGCTAGTTGCCTCCATATTTAAAGTAGGCCTTTGTTTTCAACGGACGTGGTCGACGCGATCTGTGGGGTCCGTTATTGGCTCTGTCCAGGTTCAGAGTCGACGAGTTGCAGGATTCCATGCTGAGTCTTGGGAAGAGCATCTGCAACAACAAACGCCGCTGGGCGTTTTTGGGGGTAAAGGAGGTGCGTTCTCATCTTGAGACTCCCCGATGTATTTTCAGACAACCATCTCCATTTTCTTATTTTTGTTGGTTTAACTATGGTAAACGTGTACTTTGGGAATTTTGAATTCTCAGCCAACTGGCCATGGTTGTTGGTGTCGCGATTCCTTTTCTAGGCCTAAGTGTGGATGTTCACTCGTGGCACAGTCATCCCCAAGCCTGTTCAACAGCAACCACCCTTGTCGTTTGGTCGCACAAAATGAGATATTCAGGGGTATAACCCAACATTTACACTTCTATTGAAAGCAAAATGATACACTGTGGGTTTTGGGGTACCCTATTTTCAGACAAACCCCACATATCGTAGGGTAACAGATACCTGTAATTGAGGTACAGGAATATACCTCGTGCTTTCTCCTCAACTCATCTCAGGAATTGGTGGTTTAGGAGAGAACATGAAGGTAGAGGATGAGACCATGTCGCCACCTGGCTGGGTACTGGGGTAGTCACGTAGTCTAATATGTATTTATAGGCAAAAACCAGGATGAACACTTCTCATGGAGTCCCAGTTATATACACATATTAAATCATATTGATACACATATTACCCTCTGGTCATTTGACATAGCCATGGAAGCCATGGCCCTAATCGAAATAGATGCTTCACCTAGCTATAAAATGGTGGATCTTTCCATGGCTATGTTAGTCATAATCTTCATGCGCGAACCGGTGGAGTGACTTGGTGATCTAAGCCTAAAAATCCAGGCTTTTTCGGCTGGACCGCTGTTGTAACCGCTATTCTGTTAATTTTATATAACCCATAAGTATTTTTGGGTGGATAAGGGTTACTACTGTAGAACGTGCTTGTGCATCCTGCAGCCATTTCAATGACTGATGTGAAGAAACTCACGTACCCTGGGTACAATTCCTTTCCCGCACTTAGCGTGTACTATGTCGCTTCCACTGGGGTGGCATTGTGGTCAATCGTCCCTGTGTTTGAAGCGGTGCATGGAAAGGGAAACAGGCTGGACCATCTCCATTTTGATTTTCTTTCCAGACAATACCACATGTGCATAAATTTCCATCCAAAGCCTTGTGTGCCTTTACCAGCCCACCAGGCGCTATAGCACTGTGGTGAGCAAGTTTGAGAAAGCAATCAAGGCCTGTCATCAACACATTTTTCCCGCTGCACCAATTCCAGCAATCTATGTTTCTTGGTGCTGTAAGGAAAGATTTTTGACAGCTTGGAAACTTGTGATCTACATCGCTCAGTTCAAGCTTCGCATCCGAGGTACAAAACCAGGAGCAAAATCGGAAACAGGTTGCTGACAGCGCTTTGATTCCAGAGAATCAACTGTCCAATGTGTTGGATACAGTTTCACCTACCACTATGCTTGTAGCCCAGTTGGCTGCATGGGCGACCGGGAGCAGAACAACCCCAGAAGTTCGCCGGGCGACCTTCGGCTTCCTTTAGAATAAGAGTTGTACATATAACTTGTGATGTATTATTTTCCTTGTGCCCCTTCACTTTCCACATCTAGCCATGTTGCTGCTGGCTACCCCAGGGCTGGAAGATTGATTCGAGATTGGTTGCACCCTCTTCGCAAAAGCAGTGAGCTGCGACAAGTCTTTCTGCAAGAAGTTTCCTGGCCCAAATCCAACCCCCAAAAAGATGACATGTGTTTATACCAACAAGCAAGTTGAAGTCATACTCCACCCTTCTTATTGCTTTGGGTTTTGATGACTGCTTGTTAGGTGCCAGTGGCGGTGGTGAATGGTCACTTGCAATGTGGTCGTTGCCCTGCTTTGTTTTATGTACCTTGGTTTGCGGCTTTCGTGCAGTGGCTTCAACAGCAACTTGCTGCAGAACAGCAGCTTGAGCGGCACTTGTGCCTTTGCGCACCGGATGCCTCGCACTCAGATTTGGATTTTGACAATGTCCCACAAATATTGTTGCTGAGATTCACTAGTTTATTGGCTTCAGTGGGAACACCCAAGGTTTCCAATACCTTCATTGGAGAGTTAATCGGCATGCTGCTGGTCATGGGTTCTGATGGGTCTTTGGCCACGGGGTACAACCTCTTGAGAACTGCTACCCAGCATTTGCTCGGAATTTTGCCCCAATGTGTGTCGTCAATTCTTCTGAACAGGGATGAAACAGAAAAAGGCAAAGTGGTTGACAGGGCTTTGATCGAGCAGATAGTTCGAAACTTTTCAGAGGACAGAGTCTCTCCAAATCTGATCGGCAGCTTTGGTGTTGTGCAAATTTGTCCTAAGTTTTGTACAACGAGCGTGCTCACTAACAAAAACCGTGGAACCTTCACTTGATTCCAGCACTTGGCCTTAGCTTCCAGGAGGAGTCTGGCCAGAGAAAGCTGGAAGATGCATTGGAGAAGCGTGGGGTCAGTCGCAAGTTTGCGGGCACCGTTTACAAAGAAACTTGTTTAGGAACATGTGGATGAAAGTACGAACACGGCCACAAGGACAGCTTGAAGTCTAGTTTTTGCAGCTGGTATTTTTTGAACGCTCCCTTTAATCAGGAATTTGGGAGCGCTTACCGTTGCAGAGCCCACACAGAATTCGGTGACACCAAGTACCATCAGGCCTGTAGATTGACAGGTATTGCAAGTTACCTAGAATCATGTCATGAGAAGCCATTCATGTTTGCAAGTCTCTAGCCCCACGGCGTCACAGGCATTGCAACCACGCTGCCAAGCTGTTGGCAGGTTCTGTTCGATGCAGGATCACCTTCAGGGATGAAGTCACTCTTCACCTCTTTCTTTTGTCCTGAAGTCAATCGCGCTTGCATTCTGCCCCAACAGGTTCTGAACTTAGAGAATGGTGAATGCAAAAAAACAACTTCACAACAAGCTGACCCAACATTGTATGCGTTGTGTATTTGCAGCGGTCTCCGCTCAAGTGAAGTTTGACATGGATTGTTCTACCCAATTGTCTCACCGTTTCAAATGGGCAGATGTAACACTGCACACGTTAATGACGGCCTTGGGCCAATCTGGCATTCAGCGCAGCCTCTTGTGCAATTCCAATGGATCTGACACAGATTTCAGTGGTGGTGCCTCAGCATTTGAGCATGCAGCTCTGATGATTGAGAGTGCTGGGCGCGCATCTGGCATACCCATTGACCTTAGTCCAAAGAGCATTTGCGAGCCTGGCAAATAATTTGGTTTCTCCCAGATTTTCCTTCATCAATTTCGTTTGGTTTGAACATCCTAAAGGGCTTAAAAAGCTGGTATGAGGGGAGCCCCAACCCTTCAAGCGGCCCCTTTATTATTAATGCGCCGCTGAGGAATTTGATCCTGCTATGCGATCCTGCGCTGCAATGACTCTACCGGCTACCACTTGCATTTTCAGCAATATCTTAGAAGTATGGGGAAACCCACCATCGGTTGAAGAAGTCTTGAATGGGATTGATACCCTTGAGGAGAAATTGGCAGTAAGTAGGCGATGGCCCAGGTATAATTTTGGATGGTGCCTGCAGCACCATACATGGTGTCCGTTCAACAAGGGGTCCCAGTGCAGAGTTCAAGGACCTCCATGTCCCGATTGGTCCAGCGCCGGCAGCAAGGCTGGTGTGGCCGGCAAGGATTTCCCAACCATGCTGGCATCTGGGGCAAAGGCAGACCTCACAAACCCAGGGATGGCTGTGATTGAAAACGTGCGGGGATTGCCTGAACATATTCTAGCCGAATCCTATGGTTCCAAATTTGCAATTACCTACACCCAACAGTGTCCAGCTGATGTGGGTTTTGAATTTATGTCCCGCCCCAGGCTTGTGATTGCCAAAGATGTTGCATGGTTCAACAATTTTGTATTGAATCAAAAATTATGGTACCTGCAACTTGGTTATGAATTTATCTTTGCACTTTAGATGTTTTGCCTGTAACGCATCCCCTGCAGGATCTATGCCACTGCTTTGAACAAAGACACTTGTGTGGCTCATTATGATTTTGTCACTCTCCTGGAGGAGGTTCAGCACAAACTCAGGCGTGACTTGCCTTTGGGCCCCAGTGCCTTGCTGATTGGGTCCCCGGCTGACATTCAAGAGGATACTACTTTGTTGGGGTCATCTCGTCTGCATTTGCGTCAGTGTAGTCCAGCACAGCTCGCAACTTTGACCCCAACCCAACTTCTGAACCAGAACGAACAAGCTCGCCTCCAACACTACGGACGGCTCTGGTCACAGGAGCCGGCTTGCTCATGGCAGGACCTTGTAGTGCATCTTGGCGATGACCCTAGGTCCAAGGAGTTATCAACAAAGAAAGGATGGTGCACTTGGTCATGTAAATCCAATTCCATACCAACTTTACGCAAAAGCGGGGGAATGATGTGGTCAATGGCAATGGGTAGGCAGCTCTTACTCAAAGAACTGTACAGTGGTATGGGTTTCGCTGTTTTTGAAGAACATGCTCTAGCAGCTCGGATTCCCGTTTACAAAGCGGTCAAACGGGGCTGCTCTTTTAGGAAGTCTCGAGAGGCCCTAGGCAATGCGCAGCACGTGGCCAACGTCGGCGTGTTTGCAGCGTGTGCTTTGGCATCAACTGTGTGCCGCTAGAGAAACTATTGAGTTTGCACTTGTTGCGTGAGCTACAGGGCAATGGCGAAAACAGCGTGGTTGTTACTCGCACACGTTTACCTCATGTCAAGTAGATTGAAAGTTTCCGAGGATGCCAATGTTGTCGAACACACGTGAACAGTTTGACCTTAACAGGACAGAATTTACTGAATCCTTTCAAGAGTGTCGTTTTAAAGGGCTTCTTGTTCCAATTTGATTCATCTTAGCTCTTGCCTTGAATATTTTGTGTGATTTGGGTTTTCTCAACAGGCTGCAGTCTTCACTAAAGTCGGTGTGTGTGTGTGTGTGGGGTCCTTGCAATAGTCAAGTGACTCGTCTGCAATGTTACCCGCCCCGCAGATCCCGGGGCAGATGGTGCCGGCTGGTATCCCGGCGCCGCCCCAGAGCCCTGTTGGGGCCCAGCCCCCACCAGGAATGATGGCTGCACCCATGGTAGGAATAGATGGTGGAATGAGTGGACCAATCCCTGTTCCCACTTTGCATCCTCACCCTTCACCTACTGCTCCTCTCATGATGGGTCATCCGGCTGCTCCGATGATTCCAGCAGGCCATCAACACATGCCAGGAATTGCCCCGCCCATGCCCAGCAACCCTTTTGGGACTGTGCCTGGAACGGCGCCTGCAAAGGCGTCTGGGTCGGATAATGGCAAGAAACGGCCATGCAAACAACCTGCTGAGACCGTCCAATCTCGAAAGGCCAGAGCAACTACCAGCAACACCATTACGGCTAAATCCATGGATGGGCTGGAGGAAGATCGATTGAACCAGATTCTCACAGCCCTTGAGGGGACCCAGTTCAATGGTTACGTCTTGAATTCAATGGGGTTGACCAGAGACGACAAAGTGGACACTTATATCAATCAAGTTCTTTGTCATGTGCTTTTGACAAGTTACCATCCAATTTTACGAAGGAATCTTTTCCATGTCGCCCTAGCACACCCTTACGCCTTACTTCGAACCAACCTGAGGACTTGATTGGCAAGTTGACTGGTCAGTATGGTGATGCCAAGCCCATTACCAAAGCAGGACTGCCAGTGTGGAAGGTGAGTTGCGTGGCTGACAGGTATTGGCTCATGGGAAGTTATTACCGATGTTTTTTTTGATAATTGACTTATAATACAATGAAGCTGGGCTATTTATACCCACATGGCTAGGAGACCGACTGGTGACGGAGCTTTGCAATGAATACCGTCGACGGGTTGGCGAGGGGACAGCGCCGGCAACCAGTGACTTGCCACAACTTAGTCTTCAATAAGTAGGGTTGCACTGAACAGGTAAATTATTATATTTTGAGTGATCCCCACTATGGCACGGCACTTCAAGGCATATATAACTCTTACATATATTTTGACATATGTTCTGACAGTCTACCTAACATTCTATCTGGCATTCTATCTGGATTCTATCTGGCATCTATTCTGGCATTCTATCGGACATCTATTATCGCATTCTATCTGCATGACATCTATTCTGGCATTCTATCTGACATCTATTCTGACATTCTATCTGGCATTCTCTCTGACATTCTCTTCTGTCTCTGTAACCCTCTGATCCTGAGCTTGCGGTGGAGGTCTGGCGTGGGGCACTCTGATCCTCAGCTTGCGGTGGAGGTCCGGCGGGGAACACTTTGCTCCTGAGCTTGCGGTGAAGGTCCGGTGGGGAACACTGTGATCCTGAGCTTGCGATGGAGGTCCGGCGGGGAACATTCTGATCCTGAGCTTGCGATGGAGGTCCGGCGGGGAACATTCTGATCCTGAGCTTGCGGTGGAGGTCCGGCGGGGAATACATTGATCCTGCGCTTGCGGTGGAGGTCCGGCGGGGAACAGCCTGATCCGGAGCTTGCGGTGGAGGTCCGGCGGGGGACACTCTGGATCCAGAGGTTTCTGTTCGGGTCCGGCGGGGAACACTGCGATCTAGAGCTTGCAGTTGAGGTCCGGCGGGGATCACTTTGATCCAGACATTGCTGTTCGGGTCCGGCGGGGAATACTGCGATCTAGAGCTTGCAGTTGCGCTCCGGCGGAGGAGGAGAAGGAGAAGGAGGAGGAAGGCGGCACATAAAACCTAACGACCCTCACCTGACAGGTGGGGAAACAAGAAAATCAAACCACTTGCTAGTTGGCATGGTTTGATCTTGGCTATAGGGGTTCTAAAGCATTGCCCGTTTGCAGCCTTTGCTTTGCCACAACCTCGGGGTCTGTCGCTGAGTCCAAGCTTCGCGACTGCTTCAAGAGTGTCGCGCAGAGCGACTTCACATGCAAGAGATGTTGAAACATGTGCAGCTGTACCTTCATCAAGGAGCCCTTTGCCTTACCAATGGGAAAGAGGCCATTTATGTCCGGCCAGCAGCTTCCCAAGCCCCGTGGGCACAGAAGATCTTTTTTGACAGAGAGCCCTTACCTTAGTCTTGGATTCCATTGCAGTCACTGAAAGAACCTTTTTGTTTCTCAACCTCCTCCAAAGACTGTCAATCCTCAGACCCGAGAAGTAGCCAATGCAAATTGCGGAGCAAGTGGCGTTTAAAACAAGTTCGGTGTGACCTGCAAACTGTAGGTCAATGCGGCCTTTCTTGACGAATGGCGTAGAGGCGAAATGGGTTTCAGACCTCATCACCCTTCCGGTTGCGACTCCTCCACCCCGCGAACAGCAACAAGCTCTGCCAGCCCAGACAGCATCCAGCCCTGCACCTCAGACTCAAGCACTTGAGATCCAGCAAGCGCAGCAGGTTCCACTCCAACGTCAGCAGCAACCTTGCACAGTCCCTCTCTTCCCGCAGACAACCGCACCGCCAGCCAACACTGGCCCTCCCCAGCACCACGGGATGGGATTGCAGGGTCCACCGCTGGAAGCGGTGACAGCACCAGCAGCACCAGCACCCACTCCAGCGGCAGCTGGGTATCAAGAAGAACAAGCTCGGAAGAACGCGCATGAACAGCAAATTGCGTACTTGAAGCAGCAGCAAGAGCAGCAACGCCAACAGATCGAACAACAACAGCAGGCACTTCAACAGACAGAAGCAGAACGACAGCGTGTGGAAGGTCTACTTTTGCAGGAACTGAAGAGCAAATCTTTGCCACCACCAGCGCCACCAGCAGCACCAACACCCGCAGGAGCCTTCTCCAAGTCAGGATGGCCTTACGGTGGGATTGGCAAGGGTCCCGGGGGACATGATGGTGATGACAGCCCGCCTCCTGATTGCGCAGACAAGACGCCGACAAAGCAGAAGGATGATCAGGCCAGGAAAGGGCGACATGTGTCCCACATGGGTTCTTGTTAACAGTTTCCAACGGACATGTGCTTTTGATTCGCCAAACATCCTACTATGGGCGGGGTTCAATCCCGTGGCCAGGCCAATCCACCAACTCCAGGATCGGCAACGACTATGGCACCACCGCCTTACATCCTTCAACCTGATGATTTTGAGGGGTCGGGCTCGTCCCTTTTGGAGATCAGCCCTGCAGCGTTCAAGGTTGTGCGTAAGGCTGTCCTGCCTCCAAACCCACAGCAAGACTGGGAGATCCTTTGTGAAGAGCAGGATTACTACTTGTCTTCAGAGAATCTGCAGATTTCAGTTTGGGTAGCTTGCCTGCATTCATGTTTTTTCATCTTACAATTCCTCACCGGGATATTTGGCCAACAAGCTTCCATGTGTCATGTGGGAAGCAACCCACGAGTTTAACGATCTCAGTCCCTGTGTGATTGTGTTGATCTAAGTGCTCCTCTGTCCTGGACGCGGCCGAGCAGCAGAACAAGATTGATGTGGGAAAGGACGCCTTGGAGTCAACCCGGGCACTTGGCAGACATGATTCTCAGCTGCTTTAATCAACGTTTCTGAGACTCGACCTTGCTTTTTGGCCAAAAATTGCCAGCAAAAAAATTTGGAGACAATTTCAACCCCGCTTGACATGAGGATTCTCTGGGTACCGCTACGCTCCCGCTGCCTGGTCCAGAACAGAGTGACGATCCAGGAGCTGCTGGAGCTGAACCAAGCCGTGCGCTGGCCCGTCAGCCCTCTATTCCAGCTTCGCCCTCCGACTCTTGTCTTTAACATTTGGTTGGGCGAGTGTTGACTTTTGTTCAGCTACAAAAATCCACGAGAGTGGTTTACACTGACTAACCCCCATTTAAAATCTCTAATCCCCACTGGCTTCAAATCTCGGTATTCTATGATGCTGAACAGCAAGGTTTGTTCACAAAGTAGGTTGCGCCTTCCCGTTTGCACCATACTAAGTTTTTCAGCCCTGCCACATCAAGCCTTAAACAGTGCCACTGTTCTGTCTCGCTGATCAGGCAGCCTTGGCCCGAGCGGCTGTTCCAGTGGCGGCGCCGCCGTGCCCACAGCATCTTGCCAGCTTGAACATTGATGGCGTTGAAGCGACTCCAGCTGAACTTGCCGAGCCGGGTCAGTGAGTTTGGATGACAGAACCGTCAGGGGTTGACAAGTATAAGTAAACTCCAGGAACCTGAGTGGAATGTAAAGGGCCGTTTGTGGAATTGTAGGGATCCAAACAGGGGGCATCAATTTCCCAAATTGGGGGTAGGTGCTAATCACCGAAATTAGGGGTACGACATTCCGACTGCAAGGAACTGCCTCATTTTGCTGCAGTCGGAATGTCGTACCCTTATTTTAGGGGGTAGGGGTAAACTAGGGTACGGGTCCCAGAATCTGGGGTTGGGACCCCGGTCTAAAAGGGACTGCTGTTGGGGAAACGGCCTTTTCGGCTTAGGAGTGCTGGATAAAGCCCCAACAGGTTGCCAAAGCCAAAGTAACTCTAAGTACCCACTGCACCGCAATTTTTCTTCAGGTTTAGCCATTTAGCCCCCCATTGAAGTCTATTTGTGTTATAGCTATGTCCACTGCCCAATTTCCTTTCAGCAATATACGAAATAACCACAAAATAACTGTTCAAGTCATTGCCGAATTTCATCACAGCTCGGAGGGTTAATAATTTTTCCCTTAATGTATTTCCCGTCCATGCAGAATTCCCAAAACATGACTGGGGGTAATTACCAGGTGTTCCTTAGTTAGTTACCAATTTTCAACCGGGGGTAGTTACCAGTTGTTCCTTAGTTAGTTACCAAATTTCAACATGTAAAAGGATATGTGGGTAACAGAACATGAATTCTGGATTGGTTCTTAATTCAACAAAAAACGGCCCACTGACTCTGCAATCGACAAGTGTGAAATTTTAAAGGGGACAAGCCGAATGGCCAAGTAATGTTGCGAGTAATGTTTGTACATGGTTGCGGTATTCCCCAGAAAGCCTGACGATAGAATATCTCCTACGTATCGCTAACCAAACAAAGGAAATGCAGGGCCCACGTGTTCAAAGTTGGTACATATGGCCATTGTCTTTAGCATCCAAGAACCCGAACATATGATTTACCCTGAAAGATTCCAACTAATTAATTATCTTGTTTCAGTGTCCACAACGGCTTCCACTCACGGGGCTGGGCTGACGGTCTCGCTGTTGCCGAGACTTTTGCAAGCGGCTTCAAGTTCCCAGCAATATTTTTAGTGATATACTGTTATATCAATATTTTGTTTCTGTATTTCACAACTTTTGGTGAATATGTGTATATATATAACAAGCATACGTATGTGCAAATATATCAATATATACATATTTATTTATCTATATGTATATCCACAACTCATCTGAAAGCGGGAAGGCGCTAATTTGAGCCCAGCCGTTGTGCAGAGTCTGCGACGCGCCCTGGCAGGTGATGTCAAGCTGTCTACATGTCCAGTTGATATTTTGAAGCCTGAGCATTTCATTTTGTTTGGTGGATTCGCTGGTCCGAAACCTGATCAATGTGATAGATTTCTGGGTGTTTGAATTTGCAAAGGATCAATCCCTAACCTATATTCAGGACGTCTTTCAAATATTGTACTGGCTACTAGCGATTTGGGTCTTGGATACTTGTTGGTTATGGCGAATGTGTGGGCTGTTTGGGTGATAGTTCTGTGAAAGGAAATTCCACCAACTGTTAGGGTATCCGATACCTTCGGAACAAAAGATGACCACCATATACATGTAGAACTTCAACTATTAGCTCCCAGTTTTTGAAAGCTGCTTGTTCAAGCTCGAAGTTCGCGATTGACTGGTTTGGGACATCCCCCACTGATGCGATTCATAAGGCGTACTGCCGATTTATGTGTCATCCAATAGTCTACCATAAAATAATCAATATTGCAAAGAGTCGTGTTGGATGGATTGCTTAAGGCTTGGTGCAGCTCAACTGTTGACAAGACACAGGTGCGGCACTGCGCGCGCCACTGACGCTCAGACAAAAAATGATTGCCGTCTTGCGTGGTTTCAGAGCACAGCCTCTGGATGTGTTGCTGCAGCTGCTGCGGTGGCACGTGGAGCCATTGCGTTTCAACTATCATTTCTTTCTGGACGCAAAGAACTTCCAACTTTACTGGTGTGGTTGAGAAAACATTGTGGCAGTCTCTGCGGAATCAAAACGGGTGAAAAGTAGATACTTCCCGAGGCACCTTTCACTTTCATGAATGCTCTTTGTCTGCTTAAAGCTGTTAGCAGCATCAGCATCTATTTTCCACCTATTTTTTTAAAACGAAAAGACATTTCAATATTTCGGTACTCCACTGACTGAGGTGCTGTCTGGCATGCCTTTGCGGTCTGACCCAGACATCAACAGAGAGATGTTGGCAGAGGCAAAACTCACTCAGACTATCTCCGACCCTTGTTGCATATTCAAAAGATGTAGAGTATTCCCTCAGAAAATCTCCTGCTAAACAAGATTATTAAAGCTGATCAGCAGTTAGTTCAGGTTTCTCTTTGTTTGCAGCATACTGGAATTTCCTCTTGTCCTGTTCATGCGGCTGAATTTACTAAGAACCTGGAAGCCAGAGGGCAAGTTCCTGTGGGGACACTCAAGCAGGCAAAGGCTGAAGCAAGGACCTTGAAGTACGAACCTCTCAAATATATCCAAGCCTTGGAGAATGCGCTAGTGCGGGGTGCTGGGCTGTCTTTAGACCAGCATGTTCCCTGCCCAGTATCCCCACATGAAGTGGGTGCCAGTGGGTCATTGGAGAACAAAGGTGCAATCATTTTCGTTTCAGACCAAGAGGGGAAGCAGTTTCTCAGCCGCGTGTTTGCCAAATGATTTGCAAACGTTTGAACCCCGAGCTAGGCACCAAAGTAAAAAACATACTTTTATTTCGATTGATCCCCACCATTGACCATGGCATTTCAAGGCAAAATATTTTCTGACATATATTTTGACGTTCTACCTAACATTCTATCTGCCATTCTTGCTGGCATTCTATCTGGCATCTATTCTGACATTCGATTCTTTTTGGTATCTATACTGGCATTCTATATGGCATTCTATCTGACATCTATTCTGACATTCTATCGGGCATTCTCTCTGACATTCTCTTGTGGCATTCTCTCTATAAACATTCTGATCCTGGGCTTGCGGTGGAGGTCCGGCGGGGAACGCTCTGATCCTGAGCTTGCGGTGGAGGGTTGGCGGGGAACGTGGAGGTCGGGCGAGGCTTGCGGTGGAGGTCCTTGCGGTGGAGGTCCGGCGGGGAACATTCTGATCCGAAGCTTGCGGTGGATGTCCGGCGGGGAACACTCTGATCCTGAGCTTGTGGTGGAGGTCTGGCGGGGGACACTCTGATCCGTGCTTGCTGTTCGTGTCCAGCCAACACTCTGATCCTGAGCTTGTGGTGGAGGTCTGGCGGAGAACACCGCGATCCAGCTTGCAGTTGAGGTCCGGCGGGGATCATTTTGATCCAGGGGTTGCTGTTCGGGATGGGCCGGGAACACTGCGATCTAGCTTGCAGTTGGGGAGGAAGAGGACGAGGAGGAGGAGAAGGAGGAAGGCGGGGGGCCAGTTGACATAAAATGTAACAACCTTCACCTGACAGGTGGGGAAAAAAGGGGTTCGAATCCACGTGTTTCTGCATGTCGGCTGTGAGGTCCATGAATAATTTTAATTTGCGGAAAATCAAGATTGGTGTCGTTTTTTCCTGAGGGTGAAATGGATCAACATCCTTTTGTACAAGCTGAAGCTTCGTGGCAAATATCGTCCAGAGTATGTACATCGCGTTCACAACGATGGGCAACTGTCTGTGAAGCATCTGGGTTTGCAAGGCGGGGCATTGTCATCCCCATTTTTGCTGGCCCTTAAAGCCTACCCTTACTCTTGGCTCCAACCCGGCATGTAGCACTAGCCAGACAAATGGTATGATCGAAAACTTGCATTCTGTGCCATCAGCCACTGCATTCTGGCAGGCGTGCTTGCCTCCACCAGGCTTCTTATGAGCAGCAACAAGAAGCCTTGGCAATCTGGCGAGTTTGGGCACGATCTCGCCGCCATTGCCCATATGTGGCTGGACAACAATGCGCCTGACTCCAGTGAGCTACTTGCCTTTTTGTGCTTTTGCCTGTCAGTTGGTCAACCCATTGCCTCGCTAGATACTGCCTCAATCTGGAGCTACCAATATTCTTCCCACTTCCTATAATGTCTGTCAGTTGGTCGTCCTGCTGCCTTATTATATTATTACTTTATTGCCTCGCTCTGAAGCTACCAGGTTTGAGGAGTGCGCGGATGAGCTCAAGAGAGACAAGGAGGTGTTTGCATTGATGACCAACACTGACTTGCACGAGTACCTGAGGAAGTCCGTTGCTTGGGGAGGCCAGGTTTCGCAGCGAGTATTTCTAAACGTACATAGGGAGTTCCAAGCGCAATTTCGGCGCACAGGTTTGGCAACACTTGGCCCCTTCAGGTCAAGCTGAGCCGGTTCTTTGATTGGGCAGCGAAGTGGAGGAGATTTGAGAAGTCTTGGGCATTCCTGAAGCGGGTCTACAAATCATGGCAAGATTTGCGCGGCAACCAGAAGGGGCAACTTCCTTCCTATGATGATGCGCAGCAGGACCAGAACCCAGACCAGGACCTCAAGAACCAGGACAAGGGAGCCGACGAGAAAAATGAAACAGGTGCTGGTCCTGAGGAGGATGACGCCCCACAAGTTGCTTCACGTGGGCGGGCTAAAAAACAGCAGGACAAACTCTTCTCAGTTTTGAAGCAAATGCAGAAGACTCGGCATACCCTGGACATTTGCACCGACTTGCTTTGGGACCCAAATTTGAAAAGCTATGCGCAGATGTACATGGGCTTCACTTAAATCAACCTGTTTTAGCGCTTTTGCGATGTTTATTGGCTATTTCATTTCCTGCTTTGGGGAATAATAAAGCATGGGTTGGACTCTGTAGAAAGACGCCAAGGATCTACCATGCACAGCACACCCTGATGATGGAGTACTATGATTTCTTGGAAGTCTTGAAGAACCAGGAAGAGACACGCAGATTTCTCGCCAACATGTCCAACCGACATTGGGCCGCTACTGTCCAAGCTGTTCTCGCAAAGCTCAGCTCTCATGAGGCGCTGCACGATATCAAGATTGACATTGCCCGTGTTGACTCCGACGATGCTCAGAACACGATTCAGAACTACTCAAATTTGTTCTTCGATCTCATCGTGCGCACAGCAGCCCACAGGGCATGGTCATGTCTGACGGTGTCGGATGTTGCCCCGGAACAGTGGAATGGAGTACTGTCGAGCATCCCAGCAGAATCACAACACGCATTCAAAATCATGAAGGCCGACGCAGAGGTTGTTGCCCAAGCGAGGACATCGTTGGCGGCTGGCGGCCATCCAGAGCAAAAGGCCGGGCAGTCCAAACATGAGACATGGTTGTTGACGGAAATCAATTTCTTTCAAAACAATGTTCAAGCCACGCCCAGGGTCTTCAATCCACACTTGCTGAACTTTGGGTCGACAAGCTGACGCTGGTGCAGGACCTCGTTTTTCTTTTTTTGAATCTCTGAATCCGTTTCATCATTTTTGAATGAGCGCAGACCCCAGCAGAATTTGTCAAGTTGGTGATTTTTTTGACACGAACATTTGTCTGGGTGATCGCTGAATGAGGACCTGTGGACGCATGGCAAGGCAACCTCGTGGAACCCGGAAGTCATTTACCAACACTTGCACAGGTTGGCATCTTTCATCCCATCCACGAAAGAATCGCTGGAAGATTGCATCGGGGACCTTGGCGATCATACCAAGCGTGATCAGAAAGGCGCTGGCTCAATGAAGGAGAGTGAGGAGCGCCTTTTCTTCTATCACTGTGTCTCCAAGAGATTGTCCAATGTCCCATTCCTGGGACTCATGGAAGGGGACCTTGTGAATAGTGAAGCCCGCTCTTTCAGTGCAAACCGGGTGTTGGTTTTTGGAGAGGACATGCGGATCAAAGGTGATGTGACTACGACAATTAAAGCTTTTTGCCGGAAAGGCGCGGGGTCTGAAAAAGGCTCCATGCGTTTACGGGGACACCCTGCAAATCTCCGCAGCTTCTTAGCCCATGTAATCATTAAGCTGCCAAACCATAGCCATAATTTAGAGAGCGTCGCAGTCCATCAAACACGCATCCATCCTATCCATTTTCAAAACCCAACACAGGTGACATTGCAGAATCGAAAGATGTGCGACCTAGTGGGCAACCAGCTGACTTTCGCAGTGTCTCAGCAATGATGGCTTTGAGACAGCGTGCGGGGCATGATTTTCAAGGCTTGTCTTCCCTTTGGATTGGAGCACTTTTTCAAGAAGGATTGGTGTTCAGAGAGAAGGAAACCGGGTCATGCTACATTTCTTTCGGCCATGTGCATTTCTGCTGCCTGATGTGGAGATTGAAACCGCTGTCGGCCCCCTGCCAAAACCTTGGAGCCGTACTTGTTTTTCCGGTGCTGCCACACCAGGTGTCGTAAATAGAGGTGTTTTCATAGGGTTTTGGAATTCACGATGCCTCTCTGCCATGGTTGGGCCCATGCTGTTCTAAGGATGATCTCCTGGCATGTGCAGATGGGGAGCTCATCACTGCGGAGGAGGCGCGGGAGAGGCTGGCTGCCAAAACGATTTTTTCCTTGGCCAAGCCAACTGACAGCCCTGACTGTGAGCATTGGGAAGGAATTCCTTGTGAGATCAGCTCCCCGGCTTTTAGCTTAAGTGGTTTTATGTTCCTCTCCCTCTCTTTCTTTCTCCAACTGGCCAGCAGTCCTGATTCAGATTAGGGTTTAGCTGAATTTCAATGGAAGAGGAAAGATGTGGAGACTAAAGTTGAATTGCCCCATTTAACACAGTTGAATTGGCTGAAGATAAGGTACCCCAAGCAGCAGAAGTGAGCACCAAGAACTTGGACTTCTTTTGCGCGTCACAGGGGCGCCTGCGACTATCGTCCGCTTCTGGCTCACGCATGGCTCTCTTCAAGTTGTCGGGCATCAGACGCCAATATTGCCCCACTTGTCAGATTTGTGCAAGGCGACTGGACTAAAGGTCACGCGCTTTGAGGAAAAGCAAGTTGGTACGAAGTCCCGTCTGCCGCTCGGCAGATTTCAAAGCCCTCTCTCTTATTTGGTCTTTCTTTTCCATTGTCCCTTCGAGGATGCTACCGGCAATGCAGCAAGTAGGATCATCCCCCTTCCTGGCACAGCAGAAAAGTGAATTCAGAAAGATTCAGAAAGAAATTGTATTTCGCACGGGTACCATTTCTTAATGTGTCTGAATCCCGAGCCGGTTTGCTGCAGCCCAGGATGGCCTTGATACGAGCGCACTTTCCTGATCTTGGGGACGAAGACTGGGCTGGTATGTTGGCCCGACTCTTGGAAACCTCCAAGTCCAAAGGCAAAGTGGTGGAAACAGCTGCGCTCGGTGAAGTTCTGCATGAACTCGAAGGCACCGATGACAGCAAACTTTTCGAGCAACTGCGTGAAAGGCTGACTACCCAAAAGCACGAAGAGCTCATCTTGGAGAGGCTCAAGGGGGTTGGAAGAGAGAAATCATCAATGACTACACCGACACCTTTGAAGCGTCTCCAGCCACCCATCAAGGGGGCATACCTGGTTTGGCAGCCTTCAGCGAGTGCTTTCCAGGGGTATTACCCCAAGGACTTGACAGAGAAACAGATGAAGGACCCAAAAACCAAGAAGCAATTCTCCACCAACAGGACCTATGGACCTGAGCGAAGCCAGGAAGATGCCCTTTGCTTGGTTGTGCGCTACTTGTGGGATAAACACAAGGCCTTCGGGAGGGACTGTGCCCAAAAACCAACCAACTTCCAAGTGAAGAAAGCCTTGGAGCAAGCAGTGCAAATCATGTCCGGAACAGTGGAGGATGAAGATGCGCCTGAGCCCACTGAACATGACCAGGCTGGGGGGAAAGGCGACTTGGGGGAACTTGCAGAGCCTGCAGCATCAGATGCTGCGGCGGTGGAGGCTCCTCCGGGGGAGGCTGCTCAGGAAGATTCGCCTTCTTCGCAGCGTGGCGGTGGGAATCACGATGATGAGGAAGGCGATGTGCACATGACTTCTCCTCCGCCCTCTCCTTCTGGCTCCAACGTTGGCTCTTCTGACAGCTCCTCATCATCCGGCAGCAGTTCCGGCTCAGATGATGATGAACAAGGTGGCTCTGGAGAACCGAGCGCTCCTGAGCCGAAAGCGAAAGCAAAAGGAAAAGCAAAAGCAAAAGGAAAAGCGAAAGAGAAGTCGAAACCAACGCCAAAACGCAAAGCAAAGGCTAAAGCCAAGAGCAAGACCGAAAAGAGTGACAAGAAAGGAAAAACTAAAGACAAGTCCAAAGAGAAAGCAGCCAAGGAAAAAAAAGAGAAGCCTAAAAAGGCGGCAAAGTCAGAGAGTGTTTCACAGCCAGCTTCTTCCAAAAGCGCGAAGCTCATATACGACCAACACACAGGGTTGGGCGCAGAGCTGGTGAAAACCCCGGCCTATTTGAAGAAATAGGCATTGCCGGCTGGAGTTGAGCAAAAGGGAGATAAATTTTGAGAGAGCATGATGGCACCCAGCCTTGATTTTCCATAGTTTCTAACCCTGTCTAAAACCCCTGTTTTGGCCCTTTAATTCTTAGGTAGTACTTAACCCCTAAGTATGGTATAAGTATGAAACCCAAAATAGGGGATAGGGTAGGGGTCCAACCGGTGAACCTTTGAAAAAAAACCAGGGAAAGTGATGAAACACCATCGATAAGCCATGGATATTATACCAGGGGGAGGTATAATGTCCATGAATAAACCATGGATTTTTTTCGGGTAGCCTATTTTCTGACGAACGCATCCCTCGAAATTTTCTAGATTCTAGATAATAGTACGTATAGCATTTAAATCCATAAATAGTTACATCATATCCCACTAAAACCTCAAGGGGTAGAGTTCAACCACACTATTGTTGGTTAATATCGGCAGTTTGTTGGTTGTTCATGAGTCCTTACCATGTATATACCGATCAAGTGTGCTGGGTAGCGCCAGCAAAGGTTAGCCCCATCACTCATGGACGATACCCGATTTGATCGGTTGGAATTTTCATTTCGGCCACATCCAAGGTATATGGAGATTTCCTAAATGGGGGTACCCCTAAATCATCCATTTTATTTTCGGATTTTCCATGAAATAAACCATCCATTGTGAGAACCCCCCATTTATGGCCATATGTATATGCATGTCCATACATCTAGAATTCGTCATGATATCTTGGGTTGCGTCCGAGCGAAATGAATTTTTTTCCTCCTATGGATTTGGGGACCACCCAGTGAGCGGCAGAAGCCACCGAAGTCTGCCAGGCAAGCGTTGGAGTTCTATGTTGGGCAACTGGGCGGCAGAGACGTTTTGCTGACCACAACTGGGAATGAAGGGAATTTCCAGGCTGATGATGATGTTCCAGGCTGATGATGATGATGATGATGAATCATATTGTTGCAATTATTGTTGATTCACAGGCCATAGTATGAGTGACACACGGAATAGCACCAGTAACAGGAAGAGACGGAAAAACAAACATGAAGATCACAGATCACCAGAGACCATCAGAGACCATCAGAGACCATCAGAGACCATCAGAGACCATCAGAGACCATCAGAGACCATCAGAGACCATCAGAGACCATCAGAGACCATCAGAAACCATCAGAGATCATACGCAGATCACAGTGTTGGTAATAATTATCATGTTCTCCTATATTATCAATATATACATATATGATATATGGATATCAATATGAAAAATATGTAAATAGACATGACCATAAGCATAGGCATAAATCTAAAGATATAAACTGATACCATCTGGTTATTTAACATAGCCATGGACAATCACCGTTTTATAGCTAGGTAAACCATCTATTTCTATGGGTCATTTCCCATGGCTATGTTAAATAACCAGAGGGTATACCCTCTGGTAAACTAACATAACTATGGAAAATCATCATTTTTAATGGAAAAACTCACGATAAATCACCATTTTTAATAGCTATGTTAAATTACCAGAGGGTACATATAGACATTCAGATATTCCTTCTCCCAGTTCCCCGGTTCTCCCATCCCCTTCCAGGCCGTTGGACATGGACGAACATGTGGCCATCGCCATACAGGAGCGCGCCAACATCAAAGAGGTCACCGAGCTTCGCAAGGAGGTGCTTTTAGACTCGGGAAGTTGGGGATTGAACTTGGGGATGATGATTCATACCCTCTGGTAATTTAACATAGCTATTGAAAATGGCCATTTATAATGGATTTACCCATTGAAAATGGTGATTTTCCATAGCTATGTTAGTTTACCAGAGGGTAGGTATTTTCAGTGGTATTTCATGGATATTAGTTCATGGATATTGGGATTTGGTGGAGATATTCGATCCCCTTAACATGGTGAGGTTTTCTGAGAGAATGATCATCTAGTTTGCCCAGATGGTACCATGAAAATAACAGGGGGATTCCATTCTGACATACTGTGTAGACATTGACATCATTCCCTTTTGTGGTTGAAATTTACCATTGATTTTCAACATCGTATTTTTCTTCGGCTAAAGATGGGGAAAGGGATGATGCTTCACCATGTGAAGTTGGCGGTCTGAGTAGCATGATTCCTTTTGTTTGGCCCTCCACCAAGATCCATCAAACAGGAATTTCAGCACCAAGATCCATCGGGCAATGGCAACGACTGGCAAGGCACAAAAAACCGACTTCATGGCTTTTTGGGGAGTTTGACCCATACCGACCCATACCCAGATTTTCATTGGGCCAAGATTCATTTTGCGCATTCCTTGATTCGGCAGGTTGACGAACGGCAAACAGAGTGCAGCCTGGCCAGTGGTTTTAGCGCTGGGTAGGCCACTGGTGATGCCTGAGAAGTCGGAAACTTACCCAGTTATGTCAAAATAGCTATTGAACATGGCCATTTCTAGTTGATTTACCCATTAAAAATGGTGATTTTCAACAGTTTTTTGTATGCTTACCAGAGGGTATGAGTTGCAAACCACTAGTCACTGGAACCTGAAACTCTGAAAGTACTGGGAAACATGACCTCCGGTCATCAACCATGATCCCTTGTAAATGGAGGTTTTAAGATGTTTCTAGGGAAAATCATCTATAACAAGGGGGGTACTGGCATGTACTTTCGAATCTGATAGCTATGGCAGAAATACTGGGGAAGAGCCATGATGACAACTCAGCCAGACTGGATGGGAAGGTCATCCCCAACTGCTTTGTCGACTGGAATCGTTGATTGATCTTCCCTTTTTTGTGGTTGGGAAATGAAGAATGTTGTGCCGATGTAGATGTAGATGTAGATAGATAGATAAATAGATATATCGATAGATAGATAGATAGATAGATAGATAGATAGATAGATAGATAGAACGATAGAAAGAATATGTGAATATGTTCCATTATCTAAACAAAATCCCCAGTTGAATTCCATTCTGCCCCCCCAAATCTTCTATTTTTCTCAAGGTGCCGATCTGCGGCGGCTCCTGGGTCAGTACCGCGCCCAGCGAAAGCAGGCGGAGCCGTCACGAACCGGGCGTTTTTCGGGGATCCTGAGGAGCTGGTTGTCCATGGCAAATCCAAATATGCCCAGAGATTGGTGGTTCCATTATACATTGGTGTCCTAAAATATGGATAAATATGGGTTCATTGGAACCCCCCAAAACCATTGGTTTTCCCATTGAATAGTTGAAATATACCCCAAACCATTGGTTTACATTGGAGGTGTCCAATTTTTTTCCCCAAATCTGAGATGTTTCTCATTTATTTTTTGGTGATTCCATGATACATTGGAGGTGTATGGGTACCCCAAAGTCCTATTGGTTTTCGCTTGTCGTAAGCACTTTTGGATGATTTCGGGGTACCCCCATGACTTGGGAAACCTGCATGAAGTTGGAGGAAAAGATGAACAAGTGGTGATTAATTTCTCTCAACTGTCATATCTTGCCAACATGTCTGAAATTTAAATAAATTTCATGTAGTTAGATTATCTGCAACTTGAAAAAATGGAAGAATTGTGAAGAACAATATCTTGGATAAGTTACATCAATCAGTTAGATCCCTGAATGATCCCTGAATGATAGATCCCCTATGTAAGTTAGATCCCTGAATGATAAGGTGCCCCAAACATGGGATGGTTGATCGGATCCCCAATAGTAATGAATAGGATTTAATCACAGCCATCAACTTTTGAGTATAATCCCTTCCCCCTAATCTTAAACACCCAGAAAGCCATGGGTTTTTCGTAGGGGATTTCCATGGATTTCCACATATCATTTTTTGACCATTTATGGGGCTGTTTAATATTGGAAGGGAATAAAAAGAACACATTCACCAATTTTTTGCCTTGGTATCCGGGGTTTTGGGAGCAGCCCTTCACCGCCAGGGGCTGGGGACGGACGAGGAGTGTTGAAGCTCAGAAATGCCGTTTTCAGCTGCGGTTTGTCCAGGAGTAGGGTACCCATGGGTACCCCCCCAAATCTGATGGTTGAGCAATGGCAAGTTTTTTCGGGGTCTACAGCATTTTTGGGATTTTCGTTGAAGAAAGGATGGGAAGGATATCAAAATTCACCGGAACTTGTGGGGATGTTGGCAAGAAGCCAAGGTTTCAACCAAACATGTCCCTGACATTCCAAAAAATGCATTGATCCATGATTTCCCGCAGCCACATTCGATTTCATTGAAAAATCCCGATCTTCCAAGAATTTCCCCATATTTTCCCTAGATTCCCCATATTTTCCGTAGATTCCCCATATTTTCCCTAGATGTTGCCACGGTTTTCCGCATATTTTGCCACGACTTCCACGGTGAAATCCCCGGTGAAATCGGTGAGGCGCCCAGTGGACGATCCCCGGGCAGAGCGACTGGAGGAGCTGGAAGTGCAGCTGAAGAAGAGCATGGAGGCGCCGCTGTTGCTTGATGTTGACGCGAACTACAGTATAACTACAGTATATATAGAATATATAATTGTATATATATAAATCCTATACATGTCATTTATATAATATAATATAATATAATATAATATAAAATATAATATAATATAATATAATATAGTATATATATATAGAATATATGATGTATATATGCAATTAATAATAACAATAATGATAACAATAGTGATAACAATAATAATAACAACAATAATAATAATAAATAATAATGATAATTATAAAGTATGATATGATATAGAATATAGTATAATATAATATATACTACAACTATAGGATCTATGGTGGATATTTCTGACATAGTGTTTTAGCTACGGTTGCTTGAACCGAATGGTTATTCATGGGTATTAGAGGTTAGTAATGGGATACTGATGGAAACATTATACAGGCAGTTCGCGGCGCAATTCAGTCGAAGAGGGGATACACAATCCACGAAGCATTACATCCTGGCAAGTTATAACAACGTGGTAACCACAATAAACCACCCCCAAAATCAGTACGAATGGGTGTATAAACCATCCCCAATTGGTAGGTTTAGTAAAGTATGTTTTTTTCTTTATTTTCCCACATTATACTGTATGTAATTCTTAAGTGACATCAAAGAATTTCTTGGGATTTAGGCACGATTGACGGTGAGCTCCCAGCATGGGGAAAGGCGAAACTGCACAATGGGGACTGATGATTTGCACATCATTTTTCGGTTTTAGACCAGCGAAACATGGGGCACATTCAAGCTTTGAAGCAATGACACAAATCTAATCGTATGTAATAGTAATAGAATGGGCTAGCGCCCTGGTGCCGCCGACCCCTCTATTGGGGGTGGTCTGGTAGAGAGAGAGAGCAGAAACCCATGCAGAGGAACCAAATAAGTTTAGGTGCCAAAAGATATATTTTGTCGGAGTATTTGTTTGGGTTGATGTTGAAATCACCATTCTTTTCTGGGACGGTGTCGCAATGGAGACTCGACATTTTTATGAAACAGATGGAAGGAAACACAATAAGTTAATAAGATTTTTCCAAAAAATGTATCATCATTAGCAACTCTTACACGCATATATGGTGAATGTCCACGATAGTTTTGAGAACTTGATCAAGATCAGGTAGCAGAGCATGGAAATCCCCCAGTGATCTCCCCATGTCACCTGCGAGTTCGTGGAGTTCCCAAAATCGCTCCGTTTCTGATGGATTTCTCCGATTTTTGGCCACGAAATGCACCGGTTTGTTTGGTGATCTGCCCCAAACTTCCATGGTTTATCCTTATAATTCCCATACAATGGCTGGTTGATGGGTATAAATCATGTTCACAGATATCCACGTGAAGTAATGGGAAGATGAGTTGTACCATTGATCGTCGGCGATGTCCCAAGTACACCATGGTACACCAACTTAGCTGCTGACACTGGTGACCAGGGAATATCCGAGGCTGAGATGTCAAGGGCAATCCGAATACTCCAAGTCACAGCGTATGCCACCCTCGTTTTTCAGGCTACAGTGAAGATTACCCTCTGGCAAACCAACAGTTTGGCAAGCTTGGACGCCCATAAAAAGCCATGGGTGTGGGCTTTTGCTTGCGATGGAAGCCCATAAGAAGCCATTGAAGTGGCCTTTTAGGGGTTTTAGGGGTTTGGAGGGTTTGGAGGGTTTTAGGCCTGGCAAACGGCAAGCTTGGACGCCCATAAAAAGCCATGGTTGTGGGCGCTGGAAGCCTATAAGAAGCCATTGAAGTAGCCTTTTCGGGGTTTTAGGGGTTTGGAGGGTTTGGAGGGTTTTAGCCCTGGCAAACGGCAAGCTTGGACGCCCAGAAAAAGCCATGGATGTGGGCTTTTGCCTGCGCTGGAAGCCCATAAGAAGCCATTGAAGTGGCCTTTTAGGGGTTTTAGGGGTTTGGAGGGTTTTAGGCCTGGCAAATGGCAAGCTTGGACGCCCATAAAAAGCCATGGATGTGGGCTTTTGCCTGCGCTGGAAGCCCATAAGAAGCCATTGAAGTTGCCTTTTAGGGGTTTTAGGGGTTTGGAGGGTTTTAGGCTTGGCAAACGGCAAGCTTGGACGCTCATAAAAAGCCATGGATGTGGGCTTTTGCCTGCGCTGGAAGCCCATAAGAAGCCATTGAAGTGGCCTTTTAGGGGTTTTAGGGGTTTGGAGGGTTTTAGGCCTGGCAAACGGCAAGCTTGGACGCCCATAAAAAGCCATGGATGTGGGCTTTTGCCTGCGCTGGAAGCCCATAAGAAGCCATTGAAGTTGCCTTTTAGGGGTTTTAGGGGTTTGGAGGGTTTGGAGGGTTTTAGGCCTGGCAAACGGCAAGCTTGGACGCCCATAAAAAGCCATGGATGTGGGCTTTTGCCTGCGATGGAAGCCCAGAAGAAGCCATTGAAGTGGCCTTGTAGGGGTTTGAGGGGTTTGGAGAGTTTTAGGCTTGGCAAACGGCAAGCTTGGACGCCCATAAAAAGCCATGGATGTGGGCTTTTGCCTGCGCTGGAAGCCCAGAAGAAGCCATTGAAGTAGGGGTTTTAGGGGTTTTAGGGGTTTGGAGGGTTTGGAGGGTTTTAGGCCTGGCAAACGGCAAGCTTGGACGCCCATAAAAAGCCATGGATGTGGGCTTTTGCCTGCGCTGGAAGCCCATAAGAAGCCATTGAAGTGGCCTTTTAGCGGTTTTAGGGGTTTGGCAAGCTTGGACGCCCATAAAAAGCCATGGATGTGGGCTTTTGCCTGCGCTGGAAGCCCATAAGAAGCCATTGAAGTGGCCTTTTAGGGGTTTTAGGGGTTTGGAGGGTTTTAGGCTTGGCAAACGGCAAGCTTGGACGCCCATAAAAAGCCATGGATGTGGGCTTTTGCCTGCGCTGGAAGCCCATAAGAAGCTATGAAGTGGCCTTTTAGGGGTTTTAGGCGTTTGGAGGCTTTTAGGCCTTGCAAACGGCAAGCTTGGACGCCCATAAAAAGGTATGGATGTGGGCTTTTGCCTGCGCTGGAAGCCCATAAGAAGCCATTGAAGTGGCCTTGTAGGGGTTTTAGGGGTTTGGAGGGTTTTAGGCCTGGCAAACGGCAAGCTTGGACGCCCATAAAAAGCCATGGATGTGGGCTTTTGCCTGCGCTGGAAGCCCATAAGAAGCCATTGAAGTGGCCTTTTAGGGGTTTTAGGGGTTTGGAGGGTTTTAAAGGTTTGGAGGGTTTTAGGCCTGGCAAACGGCAAGCTTGGACGCCCATAAAAAGCCATGGATGTGGGCTTTTGCCTGCGCTGGAAGCCCATAAGAAGCCATTGAAGTGGCCTTTTAGGGGTTTTAGGGGTTTGGAGGGTTTGGAGGGTTTTAGGCCTGGCAAACGGCAAGCTTGGACGCCCATAAAAAGCTATGGATGTGGGCTTTTGCCTGCGCTGGAAGCCCATAAGAAGCCATTGAAGTGGCCTTTTAGGGGTTTTAGGGGTTTGGAGGGTTTTAGGCCTGGCAAACGGCAAGCTTGGACGCCCATAAAAAGCCATGGATGTGGGCTTTTGCCTGCGCTGGAAGCCCATAAGAAGCCATTGGGATGCCTGTTGCTAAGAAAGACAAGTTCCACATCTGCGGTGATCCCAGGCGCCGCCCCTGCCTTGGCGAAGGCCGGGGTCGGCGGATTTATGTTAATTATCATGTAGTATAACATACTATTATATACGTATATATATATATATGATAGGTTATGATAGTATACGACTACAGCATTACCCTCTGGTAAACTAACATAGCGAACTGGAAAATCACCATCTTTAAAAACGGTAAATCAACTATAAATGGGCAATTTTCCGTAGCTATGTTAAATTACCGGAGAGTATAATCACACGGCCAGGCTCTTTCGGAGGCACAGGAGGAGCGCGACAAAACTCAGGCGTCGACAAAACGAGGGGTGGAGGGGCTGTCATGGATCGCGAGGGTTTAAAGGGACATACACCATGAAACAATTAAGGTTATATATATGACGGTTAATTACATGTGGTCATACAAACATATGTTTCTTTTTTTTTTCGGAAACCTCTATAAATTAAGGTTGATGGAATAATTGCGGTTAGGGTTTAACCATGGAAGAATGAACCATACCTCTCTTAAGGTTTACACATGTGATCAAATCATTTCCAGACAAGGCTTGAGACCCCTAAATTGAGCGAAAAAGAGCTGATTCCCGCAAAGGGAACCGAATTTTGACTTGAAATCACAAATTAGGGGAATGACATGGGTTACCCATCAAAATAAGACAAGATGACGCACTGCGTTCCAGGCAAACCCCTCGTCCCCCGTTCCCTTTACTGGTGTCTCTGATATTTTTGATTTCGCCGTACCAATTGCCAAACATCTTTGATAAACATGTTCACTCGGCACCCAAAACATCGAAACACATTGGGGGCACATAAGTTTTGCTACCTCTACATTGTATATATAATCATATATAGATTTTTTCCCATCATATCCCAATTGTTTCCCTAGTTATATCCCTATTTCATCCATATTTATGGTTGGTTTTGAAGCCATAAACCATCGAACACCATTTTCCCCGCGTGGTCAGGCGGAGGTGTATCGACTTCAGGGAGATCTGGACAAAGAGGGCGATCTCAAACAGGAGGTGTTCCCTCGGGGGTTTATGGATGGGTCAGATGAATTTGAGCCATGGTTTAACAGTTGAACCCATGTCTTTTTTGGGGGGTTATTCTGTTTTTTTTATGAGGATTTCTAGGGGTTTATTATGGTTTTTATGATAATGATATGGGGAAAACTCATGCGAGATGATAAATTGTGGTTGATTGGTGATACCATCAACCAGCTGGGGTTATACAAACCAAGCTGGTTGAGGGTATTATTCTCATCCAAATTTCATACATGAGCAGTGCTCAACACCCCTGTTGGTTGATTATTATGTGGGGTTACACTATCCAATATATTGATATACATATAATATACACATACATATATATATATATATATACATATATATACATATATATACACATAATATACACATATATATATATATACACATAATATACATATATATATATGTACATAATATACATACATATATATATAGAGGGCATGATCATCTAACGAATTGTCGAGGCCAAAGGCGTCATGGAGGAGCAGCAGTCCAAGATCCATTCCCTGGAGGCCAAATGGGCCGATGGACCCCCCTGGAAAAGTGATCTGCCAAGATTGGGATTAGATGCATGGGCATTTACATAAGCTAATTTAAGCCACAGCAACGTGGATCTATGTGGATATGCAAGAGTTGGAAAACTTGGAAATTACGAGCTGGATCATCACATCCGTTCGGTTGTTGCCGTAACCGCCTGACAGGTGAAGTCTAAAGAATGCAAAAGTGGACATGTTTTGACCGCACAGCCATACAAATGACATCATTTTCAGGGGTCAGAATCTTTCTCTGCGGTGGATGATGGGCCAAAACAGACAAGAAGGTTTCGGGGAGATCGCTTCAACAGAGTTAAACAAATGCCATGTTTTAACATGTTTTAACACGGAATTTGCAAAGAATAATATGTATATATATATATAGTTTGGGTCGGTAAAAGAGATAGGAAAAACGCGAATCCATGATATTGTCATGGCAATTTAGCTTTCAATCCTTTTGGCGCGCCCGACAAGCCATAAGGTTTCCATCAAAACGTTGTCAATTGACAGCATCATTTCTTGAATCAAGACTCACTTTCTCCATCTTCATGGGTTCCAAGATGTGAGAAGTGAAGTGGTCACAGGCTGCCGCTTTAAATTCGCGTTAAGTCAACAGGGAATCATCAACTTCATCAAGAATAAACCCAAGCAAAGCCACAAATTTGCTTGGTGAAACTCACCAGTTTTGGTGGCATTCCCTTCAGCAGTTTTCCAGCTGCAGGAACAGCTGAGGAAGCTGCAGCAGCATCGCATCAGTTGCAGCTGGATTTCAGACAGGGTGAAGCAGCAAAATGGGGATCCCATCATCGATGGAGAGTTAGCCTCTGGTAAACTAACAGTTCGCCATGGTATAGATGGCCCATAGAAATAGATGATTTTCCCAGCTATAAACCTCCATTGATGGTTGGGAGTTTCCATAGCTATGATCAAAGCCATGGGATTTCAGATTGAGGGTGCTGGCCATGGTGCTGGCCCTACATCGCCAGGCCATGGGGATTTAATATGATTTAATGATGACTGAACTATACTGAACTACTGATTATGTGGATTTCATAGGGCGATACATAGTTTTTTAGATTATTTTTTGGATTTAATGAGAATGTAGCCAGCAATAGCCAGCATCATTTTTGATTATTTGATTATAGTGATTTCATGGGGCGGTACAGACTTGTCTCGAAGTGGGGTAGACCCCAAAACGACAATTTTAATGAGAAACACTACGAAGAAGCGAGGTGCACAATTTTTAAACAAACCCACATTGTGTAGATGACGAACTGAAGGGTAGGTAAAATTTTGGCTGCTAATTTTATACATATATATATGTACATATGTTCTATTTATTAGCCATAATTAATGGATGCGATCATTTCTTGAGTATACCAACGAAAAAACTTGCTTTACTATATTAGACTAGCTATGACCTGGCAGATCACAGACCCACTAAACACTCACATGCCCTTCATATGTTGTTGGTTGATATCCTTTGTTTTTGTTAATCAAAATCCCGACTTGATCCCAAAATTTTGCGCGCCCCTTTTACCAGAATTCCTGCAGGACAAATTGCAATTCTATCAACATGTTTGTGGGTTAAATCCTCGTTTCGTCTTTTTTCTTGCTGGTTGAAATCAAAAGAAATCAGAAGTTTTCCCCCGGTTAAGATCCCATGCTTTTCATATTTTTGCATATACATATATATATATATACACATATGTATATATATGTATAGTATTTATATATCATTATGTATTATAAATATACACATATAATATAATATGTCCCTGGTTCTTCAGCGAAGATCCCGTTTTCATCATGTTTTTGGGTCGAAATCAGTACCAGAACTGGTTCGCCCTTCGAGGTTGGTCATGCCACACCAAGTTGCCGGAGGACGCGCAGTACTGCTACACGTGCGGGAAGGCCCACAGCTTCGCTGGATGATCATATCTGGTGAAAATTTTCGGAGATGTTCCATGGTTTTCACATCAATCCTACAGGATGGTGCCCCCCAGTGATGTTGGTCGGTTTATAACCCCCATTATCTATAGTTGTATCTACCATAAACCATAGAATTCAGCCACTTTTTTCAGGCAACTGAACGCTATCTTGGGGGCCCCATCGTGTAGGGATTTTGATGGATTTTCATAGCTACTGCAGGGTCTCGCTCAAACCAGACTGGAACGTCCTCCCGGAAACTCCCAGGCGCTACATGACGAGCTGCTGGGGGCCTAGTGGGGACCAGTTTTTCAACGTGAGAACTTGTGGATTGACTTGGTCATCAATTCTTGATAGTTCTTGTAGGCAGACAGATGTAAGAATAGCTCAATTATATCATATATAATATATCATACATCTGTGATTTCGATTGCTGAATTCCCTAGCGTTGGGGTATACATTTTCTCACAAAGCACACTTTTTGCTTTGACTTCAGGCTCAAGCAAGTGCTAGAATGCATCTATTGGGTTAAGAACCTCGTGACTTTTCCTCATCGTTGGGTGTACCATTAAACAACAAATTTGAGGTTTATGATCATTTTCCCTGTTAAGTTAACATTGGGATATTTTTCTGGTATATCTGTATACCCCATTTTCAGACACACCCATACATGTTTATCACCCACTTTCTGACTGGAATGCACACCCAAGTATGACTGTTCCTGATGGGATTTAAGCAATACACCGAAACATCATTCATTCCACATGTCAGAGACTTGGATGATGGGAACAGGGGTGAAAAGCAAGGGTTTCCGGTTGAGATTCTCGCTTTATCCATTGCCATCATTCCGAAATCGAAACATCCAGAGGTTTGGCCTTTCCCAGATGTTTTGAACCATTTCCCCATTTTGGGTTCCTTCAACTGACGAAAATATGTCCTCAATCTCCAAGGTAAGCGGGCAGACGTGTGCCGCTTTGTGGTTGGAAGGTTCCCAGCTGCGACGTATCCTCTCGGCATACTTCAATGGTTCCCAAAGAATGGGGGATTGAGCCAACCTGAGGAGGCAACCCAATTAGCAGGGAGATAGTGAACATTAGCCATTGACTTTTATAGTGAACCCCAAGGAAACCATGAGCACTCGTCCTGCACTCCCAAGGAGTGCTGTAGACATCACATCGTTTCGTTAGTTGCCCCTGAGGCAGGTTTTTAGACCGCCCAAAGCTGGCTGGAACACCTCAGGAGGTTGGTCTTGGAGTCTTGCATGGCGCGCCCGGTTTATTTACCACGAAAAGTCGCGCAAGAACAGTCGGTGGTTTGAAATCGAGAACCACTTGGCCACTTGGAGCTTTGAAATTCATCGGTTATGGGTGACTTCATGTGACTTCCCAGTTGGATTCTAGGTCCACGATGGTCCATGTCCGCATTCTCATACTGATTTCGAAAGATCTCTGAAACTCTTTGGGGTCTGAAAATACCCTCAAATATCTCAAATCCATTGGTTTTTAATATGTTTATCCACCATTTTCCCATGAACATGGCCATAAATTGCTGGCAATGACGCACGTTTTTGTTGCGCATGTTTCAATCATCCCAAAAATCGATGTCTTGGCTGCACCTGTTGTTGAACTGGAGTTCCCATAGGGGGATGATCGACAGCGACCCCAGACCGATCTCACCATGAGGGGAATTAGAATAGGAATAAGAACAATATAACAATGATATGAGTAGAAATACTGATAATGGCAGCAATGATAGTAGCATCAATCATCCCGATAATCATGATAACACGAGGTCACCCAATGTCGGCTGCTCCGCGTTTGGAGCGGCCTGTCTGGCGCAGCCCGAAAGAATTAGCCCTTTTTCGCCAGAAAAAAAGGGCTGAATACGGAGGGGTGCTGTGGTTTGGAGACAAGTTTCACTCCAGAATTTGGATCCTAAAAGATGAGGAGTATGAAGAATTTATGCAGGAAACCAATGGGTACAACAGCTTGAAGTGGAACTTGAAGCAACAAATAGTGCACCAACACATTGAGTACCTTTTGTCTACCCAGATTTGGTGATGAGTCGTTTCAGGCACTGTGTTGGGGGCGATGGTTTCGAGCCGAGGCTGTGAGAGGTGTGTTTGAAAGCAACCAGCAATTTTGAAACCAGAACTTTTGGGTACGCATCAAATTCCCGGGAACGGGTGATGTTGCTGATACATCCCATTTTGCAGATGAGATTTTCGGCTCCATCTTCGGAATCATTTTTTGATATTTTTTGATATTTCTCGAAGAAGACTCAGTGAAGACCTACAATGAATAGAAAGTAAAGGCTTGGATTTCTAGCTGCTAGGGGTCATCGATTCAGGTATCATATCTAGTCCCTTACTTGACCCTCTTGGAAGTTCTACCGCACTGGAGATACGCCGAAATCGGCGTTGCCAACGCCGAAAGTTCGACGGTTTCCGAAAAGGGTATGGCTCAGAAATGGTAGATGAACGGATACACAATATCGGTCAATTGCAGTATTTCAATGTATTTCATACATCATACCCTCTTGTAAACTAACGTAACTATGGAAAATCACCATTTTAAATGGATAAATCCACTATAAATGGCCATTTTCAATAGCTACGTTAAATTACCAGAGGGTAGGACTTCCCAATCCCCAATTAGATTTCAATTACATGCCAGCCATGGCTTGTCTCTTTCAGATCCGGGTTTTGATTCACCAAAATTTCACATGGTCATTCCGAATCTTCGCCTGGCCTATCTGCAGCTCCTGGTTGTTTCTCAAGATCTTAAGATCAGTAATGCAAATCAGTCAACAAGGATCATGCGCCGTGTGGTTTATGTTTTTGTTTGTATTTTTGTTTGAAGTGTTTAATGCTCAGATGTGTTCTTCAGTTGGACTTTTGAATAGCTTGGGCCCACCCTGAAGTTCACCAAGCTGGTTACAGTTCCATCGACTGGCGCGGTCGATGAGATCCCGAAATGATACTGCATATATCATCGTGTTATAACAAAAAATAACGAGATACTGTTGATGGGAGAAATCCTGCACCACCTAAAGGATGGTTGAAACCCTATAAATAGTGGGATGTTTACCATCTATCAACTGGTGCAGGATTTCGCAACCATCCACAGTATCACCTGGTTTTGTGTTTTGTTTTGGGACACCAGCAAAATCTTCAAAACGAAGCTTTCAATGAGGCCTGTGTTTTTGTAAACACATGATGTCTGGATGATAGAACCACATGCAGCACGTGTCGCCGTATGCGTCAAGCATGGACACGCACTTCCACAGTGCATGGGAACCCGGGTGATGGATAGGTGATGGATAGGGGTCTAACACGACTTTCCTCGAAAAAAATGGCTGATTCTCAGGGGCTATGTGAGTTGAGGGGACGGTCGATCCTCCTGATTTGGGATTTTCTAAAAATGATGGTTGAACCACCCAATTCCCTCTGGTTAACCAGTTAACCATTATTTTCACTGTATATAATTATATATATAATTATTTACATGGTCATTACTGGTGATACACCCCATTTTCAGACAAACCCATTTGAGGCATAGGGGGGGACATGGATAAGACCTAGCTGCCCTAGCTGTCCAATCGTCATTCGGGAAGGGCTCAAATTATTTGGTCCGATTTCAGATGGCAAAGGAATTTCTGGGGTCCCCAGCCCCCAAAGGGGCCATCCATGGCCCAAGGCCTCCACGCGGAGTGGGCTCAATGTCCAACCGCCCCTGGTGGAGGAGGAACTCATGACACAAGTCGGAGGTCTGGATGGATGGATGGGATGTTCATTGTCAAGTCCGGTGGGTGGAACCGTTATTGAAGTTCTGAGATTTCAATAATACTATATACTATATACTATGGTTACTATGATATATTATGTTATGGGGATATTATGATATTATGGTGGAAGCATTATTGAACAGGGGGGATATTTATTATGATATTATGGTGGAACCGTTATTGAACAGGTACGTACCGGTATATAGCTCTGAGGTGTTCTGAGACCAAAATGCTTTTTGCCGATGTTTTTTTCAGCAATTTTCGTTGTCACGGGTTCATTCCAGAGCTTCATTCCAGGAAAACATGGAGACTGAATCCAACCTCGCATTGCCCATTTTTTTCCTCAGTTGTTCCATCACTTTCCCAGTTTTTAATGGCCATTTCAGGAACCGATTGATTGGAGGTACCTACCATATATAAGGCCTATTTTTTAGGCCTAAATTTCAGAGAATATTCCCCCAAAATTCCCCCCAAATATGGCCAAAAGTACGTTTACGTACCTCCATCTGTTGGATCCTGGAGATCTCCCATGATTTTTTTCCACATTTTTCCGGGTCTTTCCATCATTTTCCCTCGTTTTTTTCTTTGATGACTTGGCTGGGAGGCGAGAGCCGTGAGAGGCGCGGTGTGGGAGCTGAAGCATTGGGGGATGGGTAGGGATTTGCCTAACCATCAATATATGGATTATATTATGTATATATATATACAGTATATAATATATAATATTATATAATAATAGTAATTAATAATAATAATGATGATACTAATAATAATTTTTATTAATGATAATAAAAACAATAATGATATAAAACACTTTAAACTTAAAACCCAAAATAGTAATAAAAATAAACGTAACACTAGTACATTAAACTTAAAAACGACAAGAACCAATTAATAAGAATATGTATATAATGGGGAGATTATGGGATAATAGCCATGGATATGGAGGGCAACGAGATACTGCTTTCGGCCGAACGCAGTTCAGGTGAAGTATGTCATCTATTGTCATCTATCCATCCTGGAATCACAAAAAAGTATAGCTGAATAATATGGGTTAATATGGGTTATGGATTATTAAGAATCATATTATGGATAATATCCTAATCCATGAATAATCACAAGAAATGAATCTATAGCTGAGAAGTATAGCAATTTTTGGAGAAGACAAACATTGAGAGGTGGAGGATGGTATCAAATCCATCCAAATCCATTTGTTTTCCACCAATTTCACCTTTGTTTTGAGGATAAGAAATGCTTGGGTCAAGGTTGGGCCTGGGATGGGATGGTCAAGAATCGTCTCCATTGCAGCATGAACTTGTTCCCATGGGATACAGTCTCCACCAGTTGCACTCCTCTGATGGTTGGTATTTGAGGTTGTAAACATCGCCACATTTTTAGGGCATGTGATCCCCTATTTGTCATAGAAACTCATGTCTTCGTGCTATTTCCATGCATTTTTTGGTATTTTTTTGGTGCCCCTCCAACAACGACCGGGTCGACATGGTCGTTGTTTTTCCATGAGATTTGGTCCCTCTGTTGGCCCCAAAAATGACCCAAGAAACCGGCCAGGATGGGGACCTCCAACAGCCTGCGCGTAGCGGGCTTGGAGTCATGTTTCGTGGTCACCTGATGGTTTTTGAAAAGATGATCCCCATGTTTTCGCTTTTAGATTTGGACCATTAAAAAAAGGACAACACACACACACACACCAAAAAAGGCGAACAACTTCCATGTTTGAGTGTCTGATCCCATAGACTTTTCGTTGAATGGGAAGTAGAAACAGCTAATTCCTGCTTTAATTTAAGGCTCTGGAGGATGCCAGCCTTGAGGCAGGGGTCCGGGTCCAGGGGCGCCAGCTGGATGGGTTGATTTTGTTGAAAGGTGTTGATTTCGCATTACCCCTCTGGTAATTTGTTACATAGCTATTGAAAATGGCCATTTATAGTGGATTTTCCCGTTAAAAATGGTGGATCTTTCCATAGTTATGTTAAATTACCAGAGGGTAGCCCATCACGATGGCAGAGGAGTTGGCCTCTGCCCTGACGACGAAACTTGACAAGGTGGGAGGGTGGAGATCCCGCCGTTGAAAAAGTGCTAAGAGAAGAGGTTTTGCCAGCATGAATGCTGGCTTAACTTTAGAGTATATATATATTATATATACATATAATTTAGATTGATTTAGTATAATTTACTCAACCAGATATATACATATATAATTTAGTATAATGTACTCAACCGGACAAAATCAGACAACGCAAGAACTCAGCCAACAGACATGCTCAGTATTACAAGATATTGCAAGTGTTTGCTTCCAGTTGGAAATGGGACAACTCTAGTTGTTACCCTCTGGTTATGTCAAAATAGCTATTGAAGCCATGGCCCAGTCGAAATAGTGGATTTACCCAGCTACAAAATGGTGTTTTTCCATAGTTTTCCCATTAAAATGGTGGATCTTTCCATAGTTTTCCCATTAAAAATGGTGATTTTCCATAGTTTTCCCATTAAACATGGTGGATCTTTCCATAGTTTTCCCATTAAAAATGGTGATTTTCCATAGTTTTTTGTATGTTTACCAGGCCGGGTATATTGCCAAGGCAGGATAGAAACCAAGCCAGGTCTCCCAGGGGGTCAATCCTGAAAGATCAGAAACCGTGAGCCACGTGTCATGGTCAAGTTCTTTTGTCTCCCATAGGGGATGGTCATCAATCCATTTTCATAAATGATATACGAATATATATATATATACATACAATGTGGGGCCCCCTAGTTATAAGTTGGTTTATAAGCCCCAGTAGCTATAGTTATAAGTACCATAAACCATAGTTATTGGAGTTATAAACCAACCTAGCTATCTAGGGGGCCCCACTTTGTATATATATAATATACAATATACCCTACCCATTGTATATGATGGGAGAATCGGAGTTTACATTCCCATGATAGGGAATCCCTTATGATGATGGGATGATCATACACTCTTCATCCTTTTTTTTTCTCGACCCTAGCGCATATGAGCTATGCTGGGATGTTCACCTACCCAGATTTGCCGCCACTTGTGGGTCCTGTCTTTGATGTTTTTTTTGTTGTTGGTGCACTGCTTCATCTAATAGCACACCACATGGGTTTGTCTGAACATAGGCCCAAACTGTTGCTTTGCAATCCACTAGATGTCCACTAGATGTCCACTAGATGTCCACCAATATCCACTACCCTCTGGTAAACTAACATAGCTATGGAAAGTCACCATCTTTGATAGGTAAATCAACTATAAATGGGCCATTTTCTACAGCTGTGTTAGTTTACCAGAGGGTATGGCCCATCAAGGCCATTACACTCCCACGAAATTACCATGAAATCCTCATCAAAATCCATTAAATCACCATCATCCTCCAGTAGATGTCCATTGGGCAAACACCCCTAAAGCTATCGCACCAGGATAAGGACCGCGCCAAGTTGCAGATGTCTCAGCTGAAAGAGGCGGAACGGCAGCTGGAGGCAAGGCGTCCCGTTTGGGAATTTTCCCAGTCAGAAAACTCCATTTTTTGTGGTGAAACCTCCAACTGCCAAGTTTTATCGCCGGAGGGTTATACTCAGTATGGGATTTGGGAACTATATAGAAACCATTAGATCTATCATAATATAATCTAATGGTTAATAGTATTATGAACATGTGGGTTCCATTTTCATGGGGATACCCCAATAATTAGCTGGATGGTTCATGGTCTAATAGCTGAATCATTGGGGGTACCCCTATTTCAGGAAACCTCCTAAAAATGTAGAGAACTGGATGGACTTTCAAACCCGAGAACTTGGGAAGGACCAACTTGATTCGGGATGATCTCTCCAAGGGATCCTTGGTAAATATTCAGTTTCTGGAGATCCAAATACTGTGGGTCAAACAATGCCATAAATAAACCACCCATTTTCCTGGGAATGGTTTCTATATGCCACCTATAAAAATGCTGATGACTGGGGGATGGTTGCTGCAGGAGAAGCAGCACCAGCTGGACGAGCTCGAGAAGCGCATCTTCGTTGTGGGACCCGGAGCAGACTGACCAGTGGATCATGCGTCTGAAACTGGGGGGTAATACCTCCATTTTGGATCATTTTGGGCTATTTGAATGGGGAAAATGAATGAAAATTCATGATCATCCAGTGGATCTATTTTCAGATTTTTTCAGATAAACAATGACAATTATGATCATCCCATGGGTTTGGGGGTGGAATCCTCAGAGGAGCTGAATCAGAATTTTCCCACGAGCTCAGCGCCTAGGCCATGACTGATGGTTTGGATGATGTGATCGAGCTGAATGTGGGAGGTCGGGCCGGTTTCTGGGGCAGACACTTTTTCCGCGTCCCGGTGGACACGGCATTTTTTTTGTTCGTTTTTTTTTTCCGGTTAGGTGTACTTTTTTTTTCTAAAAGCTAAGACCTAAATACACATAGCATATATAGACAAACTTGGGATTTCGATGTTTTTTTTCCCAGGAATCGGGATTTTCACGAAGAACATCTCTTCAGCAAAAAAAACATAAAAAGCCACCAACAGAATGACACCAACAGCGATCCGTAGCATCAAGGATCAAACTGATCAAACCCCAAGTGAGCTGCTCCAAAAACCGTTCGTTTCTTTGCCAAAAAGTTGTCATGTCGACTGCCTTCGTTGTGGCTTTGCTCCTCAACCTGTTCCATGTGGGTCTTGGTTTCCGCACAGAAGTGGTGGCCAACATGTCCACGGCCAAGCCGGACTGCGCGGCGTGGTATGATGTCCTTCCGGGCAAATTCAAGGCCAAGTTCGGATGGACCAGCAGCGACCGTCACTGGCTTGGGCAAATTTCGTGTGGGTCTGAACATGGCTAGGGTTCCCCTGAATGAAATACATCATCCCCTTTTCCTCCCCAGGCGAAAGTGATTCCACCTTCACCTCGTCTCAGGAAAGGACTACCTCAGCAAGACGCCCGACCCCTGCGCAGAGGCCGGCTTGGAATGCTGCGGTGGTCAGTGCGCTTTGCCCGGCTGCCAGACGGACGTGGAGTGTTTGCAGTGCAAGGCCTTGATGGCTGGCAGCAGCATCCCATCTGAGGTGCAGAAGGAGATCTGTGAGGATCCTAAGCGCCTTGGTGGCCTTGGGGAACCAGTCAGCTGAAACGCTGGAAACCATCTTGGGGTGTAGGGCTATGAGGGCTATGAGAGCTATGCGTATGCTTGTGCGGAACACATGCTGCATGTTATCTTTCGCATACAACATAAGCCATGCAAGATGATCATCCATGGGAAGCCGTCAGTGGGATGGCTGGACTAGAAAGGTCATTTCACAACTGGTGATGGTCACTGAACCAACATTGATGACAGGAAGACTGAAAGCAACCAGGTCATGAAAAGATTGGAAATCAAACCCGGCAAAGGATGTAACGCCCCATGGTCCCATGGTTCATCGCAAAATCATCTCAAATAGAATGGGATCAACGGGGACATGTTCCAAGGTTTTGCAGCAACATGTTCTCCAACAATTGCGCCTACTTGGCCGGCGAGTGCACCCGCAAAAAGCAGAGCTGCGACGCCTGCACCAGGTCCTACAAGGACAGTGCTCCTCATGTGGCCAAAGCGTCGTGTGAAAACACGGACCTCTGCTACCTCCCGCAGATCGGAACCTACAAGGAGGGTGGCTGCAAGTGGAACGGTGACCAAAAGAGGTGTGAGAGAGGCCAGTCGGAAAGGCATGGTGCGTACAAAGATTTGTTTGAAGGCTGAGATTACTTCGGCGATAGCTTGAAACTTCCGCGCAGAGTCAAAACAGTAGCATGGCTGTTGTTGTTTCCAAGGGGGGAAACATGGCCATCAGAAAAAGGTCAAACATGGCCGGTGAGATTTTGACATCTTGGGGTACCTCTTTTTGTTGGAGATGGAAAGGGCCCTGAAATGTAGTGGAAACTGTACCGAATTCGGAAAAAAATCGCCTTCCCTGCCGGGGACGTCCCTCAGGTTCGATGTTCATATTTCCTAAGTCATGGGGGTAGCCTTAAATCATCCATTTTAATGGGATTTTCCATTGTAAATTATTATAAACCATCTATTTTCGTATATCGCCATTTATGGAACCCCCCATGTTCATATTTGGGTATGGATCAATACCTATTAATACCATTTTTAGGGGGATGAACATCCATTTACCAGCTATTTTGATGTGAACTACAGGGGTACAAGGTTTTGACACACTGCCATATCGCCATTTATGGAACCCCCCATGTTCATATTTACCCTCTGGTAATTTAACGTAGCGAACTGGAAAATCACCATGTTTAATGGGAAAATCCACTATAAATCACCATTTTCAATAGCTATGTTAGTTTACCAGAGGGTAGGTCTATATCATCCCACTTCCCAAGCCACACTCCGCGCCATCGCCTGTGGAAGGTCAGCACATGAGCACGACCCGTGCCGTGCTGTGCTGCGCCCCGCACTCGATGCTGGCAGGACCGAAAATCTTTCAGCGGAATGGCGAAATGGCTATTTTTTTGGGGGAGGTAGTTCTAGTAACCTAGTGATATGTAAATGGTGCCAAGTAACCTAGTGGTAACTAGTAACCTAGTTCTAGTTCCCAAAAAATAGGTAGTTCTAGTAACTGGTGGGCTATTCATCACTATATTCTAGTGGGATTTTACCAAAAAAAAATAAAAAACCATAGAAATTGGTAAAATCCCACTAAAATATAGTGATGAATTACTTTTCGGCATTTTTCTGGGGTCATTTTTGGAAATCAAAATCGGATAGAACTCATGAAAATTGTGTTGACCTATGATGATATGCCCATCTCGCATTGAATAGTAACGGAGTAGAATGGAGTTAGATGGAGTTTGAAATTTAGTGGCATCATTTGGATATGGCGGGTCAAAATTAAAGACCTACAGATTTTAGTTTATTTTTTACATTTTGAATATTCAAAACATCAATTCTTGGGGTACCAATTTTGACCCATACCCATTTGTCTTATTTTCTATTTATATAATTATAAATATATATATACATATATATATATACATATCACATATATATATATACATATACATATTTAATATTCAACATCAATTATTGGGGTACCATGGGAATTTTGTCTACCCATGTTTCTTCAGAAATCGACCCTTTTCTGCCTGGTTTCAACCAGGAATGTTCAGTGGCAACTTCGATGCGAGTCACAAGCGTGACAAGGCGAGGCATTGAGGCATTGGGAGGCCTGAAAATCTCACCTCATGGCAGCTTGTGAGCTGAGGTAAGCGGTACTAACAAGCTGATATATATATATATATATTATATTTATTATATTTAATATATATATATTTATAATATTTAATATATATATATACATAATATAAGCCATTAGTATTTAGATGTTTTGAGAGTTCAAGATTATTTAGGATGAATCATCGACTGAGTCAGCAATTTCCCGAGTCAGAAACTGTGACAGACATACCCACACACACACATAGATCAGTCATTTTTGATGATCTAAACTGTCCCATTTTGGGGGCACTTTCCGAAGATCCATCACAACTAATTAATGTTGCCCTGAACATTCCTGGACTAAAGCATCCCAACTCCGAAGTGGTCTTTCGTGCATGGCTGGTGGAATCAAATTGTACTCTCCCCCAATTTTCTACGAGCAAGCAACAGTCACCAGGTGGTTGACCCTGGATTGAAAAGCTTAATGAAGCTCATGGCAGTTTGCACAGCGGCCGGTATGTGGAAAGGCCTTGAAACAGGTGCACATACCCTCTGGTAAACATACAAAAAACTATGGAAAATCACCATTTTTAATGGGTAAATCCACTATAAATCACCATTTTCAATAGCTACGTTAAATTACCAGAGGGTAGCTGGAATTTCAATAGCCACTTGTAGCATCTTGTAGCCACCTGTTCGCTTGAATGCTGATCGTGTCGGGCCAGGAGAATCGGATATTCCTGGACGTTGATCCGCCCATGTTTGAAAAGGCGGGGATCCCAAACAAGATATGCACCGAACACCTGGTTTCCCCCCTTCCAGTGAGATTTCGACGGGACTGTTTTAATATGTTTTAATATACCATAATATACTTGACCTTGGGTTCGCTCAGACTTACCGAAGGGTATAAGCGCACTGTACACCATCGTATAACTATCTATGAGATGATATAATGATACAGTATGATGCTGATTCTGATGCCCATCTATACGAGTAAACATAAACATAGACTGTATCCTTCCATCACAGGGACTGAAACTCCAACAACTCACCCAGTTGATAGGTAAATGACTCTAGGTATAAAACAACAATTTATCAACCCATGACCTATCAACCCATCAACCAACTACTATTCACCATTTATCAGTTGGGATTAAAACCCATTTATTTACCATTTCTCATCAAATCCGTGGTTTTATTGGGATTAAACACCCATTTATCAGATTTTATCATTCATGAACAGATTTATTCTTCACCATTTATTCACCATTCCATGAATATTCACCATGACTATTCACCATTCCTATTCACCGACTCAGCTCCCCATTTACCCTCTGGTAAACAGCCACATAACTATTTAAAATGGCCCAGTCGAAATAGTGGATTTGCCCAGCTTTCTGAAATGGTGGATCTTTCCATAGTTATCCCATTAAACATGGTGATTTTCATTGGTAAATCCACTATAAATCACCATTTTCAATAGCTATTTTGACATAACCAGAGGGTATATCCCATTAATATCCCATTGAATCACCATAAATCCCATTAAATCACCATAAATCCCATGATTTTGACATAACCAGAGGGTAAGACCCATCCCATCCCACCCAGACCGAGCCAGGTGCTACGGCATCTGCGGCTGCGCCGTATCGCCAGCCCAGACCAGCCGGCGCCGCTGCCGCAGGTACCAGAGGCGGGTGCCCGGGGTCCCCGCAACCAAGGGGGGGATGGGATTTCTATATAAAAATTGCCATTTATAGTGAGTTTTCCCATTAAAAGTGGTGATTTTCCATGGTTTAATATGGTTTAATATGGTTTAATGGTGATTAATGGTGATTAATGGATTTCTATACACTTGTAGTGACTCACCATGAATCACCATTAAAGCATATTAAACCACTAATTGGTGAGTAATCATGGTGATGAATGGTAAATTAACTGGTTGGTGGTGACTGGAACCATGGAATTTTATGACTTTCCATTCAGTTGGGAATGGAATCATCATCCCAACTTACGAACTCCATCATTTTTCAGAGGGGTTGAAACATGTTGAAACCACCAACCAGTATAACATAGTGTGGGATGACTTAGACGGTCCCACTATTTTGCACTTAATTTTACCTTGATTACTATGGTGTTCCACGATGTTTGAGAAACCAACGATGACACAACACTTGGTGGTTTCTCAACAATTTCGGACCACCAAAAGTGGATGGTTTGAACAGTTTCAGATGGCGAAATAAGATCTTTTGATTGCTTTTGGGGCCTGGTCATTTTAAGAAACTTTCCGGAGTTGGGGGTTCAACAAGAAAATTGCAGAAATTTAGCAGCAAAAGGGTGGGATATTGAGTGGTGAAACCTCTAAGAACTGGATAGTTTGAGATCCTAAGAAGTATTTGTGGGCAACGGTACAGCAGGGCTTACATTTTGTCCAAAACCCATTCACCAACAGACAGATGGTGCTTTTCTGAACACAAAGCATAGTCTTTTTTTGCAGAAGTCGCAGGTCACAGCCGCAACCATCCCACTGGATATCCAACCTGAGGAGCTTCGTGCGGAGTGGGACATGATGATCAAATACTTTGGCCTGGACGTCTATATGTGCCCAACTGGAGAAGATGAGGATGATGAATGGCTTGGGAGTACTGTGGTTTTGTAGGGGAATGTAGTGGGTGTAGCTTGTGGTGGAATGTCCAGGTGGCATTCGGTGGACGCGAGAGGTGTTATAGGTGCAAGTTGGTGCAAAATGAAATTGAAAAGGGAAGTACCCTCTGGTAAACTAACATAACTATGGAAAATCACCATTTTTAATGGGAAAACTCACTATAAATGGCCATTTTCAATAGCTATGTTAGTTTACCAGAGGGTAGCAAATGCAGGTGTATTCTTCTATTCCTGAAATCTTTCAGGTACGGCGACATGGGTCGGAGTTGCAATATCTTACAGAGGACCCCGGCGGCTGGGGGGTTGAAACTCTGGTGGCACGGGCTTCGATAATGTGTACGTGATATGAGCTTCTAATGATAGCGACTCCAACAAACAACAGATGGGGTTGAAAGTAGTACAAGCTTGGAATGATTTGTGGCCAACTTCAGGTTGGCGCAGTATTAGATGCATGCTTACCAGACGGAGCAGTAATGACTCATTGCTTCCAATCCGGTAGTATGCTTCTTACATTGACACCTTTCAAGCCGGAAAAGGTACGTTGAAGATCCTCGAGTGAATTAAGGGAGAGACAGTCAAAACAAGGCTCACCTACAGTCACTTTGAGTCTCATTTCGGTTTGGGGACACCTCTCCCTACATGCAGAACATCCCCCATCCATGCCCCTGGGTCTTGCTGCAGCGGGGTTGGGTGGGTCCCAAAGGGTCACCCTGGTGGTGTCTTCGAAGGATTGCAGAGATGAACGAGGTGGATCAAGCCAAGCTGCAGCCGGGAGCCCCAAGGGCATCAGTTTTTGGTGCGGCCAGTGGCGAGTTGGAAGCAGTCTTTGGGGTCCGTTGGTCCAGGACCTATTCTTTTGCAGGTCCAAACTGCATACTCTTCCGCTGGGAAATGCTTATGTCTTATGTAATTAATAATCTTTTTCAGCTCCAAACCATTGATGGTTTTCCCATGTTTTCCCGCTTGTTGTTCTTAGGGATAGTCTATGGCTCAAAATAATTGACCCCTAAACTCGCATGCTTTCAGATCTTGAACAATGACATGGGCACCCAAATTCAGTGGTGTTTGTTTCACTTCTTGCTTCTTACCCTCTTCTGTTCGGTGCCTATTCCCATTATTTCTCATGAAAGAAAAACACATTTCTGTTGTTTCAATATCTCATGTTTTTTTTTTACTTGCTTAGACTTCCCCACGTTTCTTGATATTTTTTTCTTCACCTGATTGCCCTAACAACATTGTCAGCTCGCCTCCACCAGCTGCACAGCTCGCAGGGAGAACGACCTGGTGCGCATCACTTTGAGCTCCACGGGTGGTGTGCCCTCCTCCAGCCATCAGGAGGTGCCAAGGGGCCAGTCCGGCTGGGACAACCTGGGAAAGGATTTGGGGGGAATGTGAAACAGATCAGCAGATGAAAATGCGGATGAGTTAAGATGGGATATTCTTGGGAATATTCAAGCCCCAAACTCCCAAAGTAACCAGAGAGCACCACATGCAGGATCCGAAGACGTGCCTCACTGCCATCCGTCTCAAGAAGACAACAACGGGCGGCCACATAGCCGCATGACCACATCCAACAGGCCGGAGCATTTTCATTCGCAGCTCCAGCTGAGTGGCCATGGCTTTCTGCCAGAGATCTGTCAACCGGCACATCCCAACACAGGGATGGATGTTGCTGGTGCTGCTCTGCTTGTGCCGTTGGCTCGGCTCTGATGGGACGCACTCTCCTCTCCAGGTGCAGGTGGCGCCGCCCATCCTTCGTGCTGTCTGGGAGCCACCACGGCTGGACGCCCAGAAGTTGGGCGTGTGCTCCGAAGCCTCTGGAGGCAGGTCAGTTGAAGGCTCTGATCGCAGAGGCCAGGGACCCAAAATGGAAGCCTCGCAAGAAACCGAAGCCAAAGACGTCACCTGAGAGGCCAGGCCTGTGGCGCTGTTGTGAGTGTGAGCGGTGGCTTCCAGCAACAGCTTTCAACGTTCGAAATAGTCGCGGCATGCAGTTTCCACAGGGATATTGCAAGGAATGCGGCAATGAGAAAAAGATGTTGCACCATCGCACATTGCGGGGGGGTTTGCTTCATGTTCTCCAGAGGGCCAGGCCTAGAGCCAAAGGGAAGCCGTGGAATGTGACCCTGACCTTCGAAGACCTTCTCGAGATGGTGGAGCAGCAGAACGGTAGGTGTGCCTACTCGGGCGTGCCAATGGAGATGCTTTTACCAAACAGTCATTGGAGAATGTCCTTGGAAAGGCTCAACAACAGTGAAGGGTATTCCCGTGAGAATTGTGTGCTAATTGCGTGTGAGTTCAACACTGGGGATTGTAGCCGACACAGGGGTGTTGATGCCAAGACAGTTGAGGGAAGCGGGCAGTGGTCGCTGTGGAAGATCCAGGCTATTCTCACCTTACGACATCAGCCCTTGGATTGTGAGTTGTTAGCGAAGGAGATAAGAGAGGCCAGACTCAGACCAAGAATGAAGAGACAGGTTGTTCAGCGCAGACAACCTGACAAAGAAGAAGCAGGCTCCGTCTACTGCTCGGCATGTGATATGTTTCTTGCTCCTGGCAATTTCAGTCCATTCACACGTTCACATCGCGGCTACTGCAGGACATGCATGCGGGAATATGGGCTGGCAAGACGCTCCAGACTGAGGGGTCACGTGCAAGGCCTCTTGAGATCAGCAGAGGCAAGGTCCCAGAAAAGGCATCAGGAATTTTCCCTAACTCTCCTGCAAGTACTCAACATGCTGGAGCAGCAGTGTGGCCGCTGCTACTACTCTGGCGTTCCTCTCAACTACAAGCAAATTCATGCTGATTGGCGTCTTTCGATCGAGCGCCTGAACAACTCAATCGGATACACGGCAGAAAATTGCGTGTTGATTGCCATTGAGTTCAACACGGCTGATCAGAGTCGCAACAGTGCAGTCACTAAAGTGTTTGGAACTGCCCAGTGGTCCCGAGAGAAGGTGGAGCATGTTTGGGGGGACAGCGGCTGGGCAACAGGAGATGCCTCGCTGACCCTAGCTGGCGAAGAGGCAGATTAGCAGTTCCCCACTGCATGTTCATACGTTGCAGAGCTGTTTTTGTCTCTAGTTGGCATTCAATTTGAGCGTGCCGCCGCTCTTTGGGCGATAATTAGTCAATTAGTTCCAGGCAGCATGCTTGGGCTGACCGTTTGCACATTGCATGACCCAGGCATATGTACTACAGAAAGCTGCAGCCAGCTTCAAAAAAGAACTGGTGGTTGTGTATTGACCTGATACTTTGTGCGCTGACAGCTATGACTGCCGCATGGCCATGTCCCATTCACAAAACGAAGTTAAGAGTCAAGGTGTACAAGAATTCAATAGACTCTGTGACATTCTGTGACTAGTGTTGTGAGACACATAGCACGTCTGCCACTCTAGTCTTGCTTTCCCACCCCCGTTGCCTTAGTTCAGCTGCTCTGTTGCCAGCCAGTCACATCGGAGCCAACGGCTCTTTCCATCCCCTAAATTATCGTATTTCTCTAATCACAGTATCAAGCTGTGTCACCCTTACCATCAGCCTCTATTACCATCTCTAGTCTTACCATTGCTGCGACCAAAGTCCTGCTTCATTTCAATGTTTTTTGACACAGTCTTGCTTTGTTTGGTCTTGCTTCGTGCAGGTGCTGGGCGCCTCGGGCTTCTCGGAACGGTCGCTGGAGAACAGCTACGGCGCCTATCCGTGTCTCGGGACAGACAGGCATTTTTGTCGTAGTTTCGGCATTTGATGACCTGGGCTGAAGTCACCGAAGTCACCAAGAACATGCGGATTTTAAGTTTTAAGCAATCAAGGGAAGGGTTTTAAGTTTGACCTACCAAAATATAGGGGACCATTGACTCATGGGCATTCTTTATATAATTGTTTTCATGTTACTAGTAACCACAGCTTTGGTCCTGAATTCACCCTGAGTCGATGATCGGGCTTCTGGGTCAGTTTTTAAGACATTTTATTAAGACATTTTAAAGCTCCTCTCCGAGACCCACAGATTTTCTGATGGCAATGTCACTTCGAAGCTCCGCTCGTGCTGAGGAATAGCATCACCATCAAGTTCCTGAAACATCGGGTGTGGGAGCCAAGAAGAAGGGTAGGTTGCGAATGAATCTCTCGTGTTGGCTGGTTGAAAGTTTCTGATTCCTGTTGTTATAATTTGGCAGAAGCACGGCAGGGTACAGTGATGATCCCTGAAGTTCCAAACTGGTTTGTAACTGTACGTAGGTTATAACTTGTAACTTATAATCATTGATAATCCCTTACAGCAATTCTTAACTTTAATTAACCCCTATATATATACATATTATATTATAAATCCCCCAGCGACATCCAGTTGCTAAGTAGCCATAGCTACGGGAAAATCGCGGCCATTCACCATCCACGAGGTGAAGGTGGAAGCCATGGAGTTGCGCGCAAAGATCGCAGATGTCGGGGAAACTCAGCGGTGGCCATGATGCGGTCCGGTGGTGCCAGGTGGTTCATTTGGGGGTGTGGGTAAAGCCCTGGTTTTGGTGGACCAATATGGCTCTGGGTCAAAAGCCTGGTACTTAGTGAACCCCAAAATAGATGGTAAATGGATGTTCATCCCCCTAAAAATGGTATGTATAGGTATTGATCCATAGCCATATGGTGAAGATATGTCAACATACAATTTTCCAAGAGTGGTTTGTGCTGATTTGTGTCACTTTTTTGGGGGGGTGGTCGAGCTCTGGATGAGAGGTTAGCTGGAACATGGTTCAAGTGCCACAAGTGCACTTCTCGGGTCCCCAATAGAAAGAATAGGATGCCCAGGATGCCCCGTGGTCCCAGGCCCCGTGGTTTCCGCTGGTTGACCCTGTATGGAGGTGCTGGCGCACATGTCCAACAAGTGGACCTTCAAACATGGCCAGGAGTCGGTCAACATGTCGTGCGCCGAGCACCGTTCGGTGGTCCCCAGGTGTGGTAAAGCCAATGCCATGGTTACCATCCCCAATAGGATATCCAGAAACTGCTGGGTATTCACCATTAACAATTGGAGAGTTATGCCACTGGGTTTACCACATTAGTTGGGTGTGTCTAATTGTGTTTCTCAAATTTGAGACCACCAAAAACATCTGATTTGTGGATACCCTGTTTTGCGAAACCACCAGATGTGCACCAAGAATTGGGGCCACCACCATTTTCCCAAATGTCTGTCCTGAATAGCAGAGTTGTCGAAGACCCTTCCACTGGACCAGAACTATGTGCTTTGAACTTCAACTGGCCTCCTCATGATTCATTTGGGTGATTCAGTGTGACTCACTAGATTTTCTTGATTTTCTATCTCTGTTTTGTTTTGATATCTTCCCATTTTGTTCAAATTCCTACATTTTTTGTTTGGTTCTTCGTTATTTTTATGCCAATTTCGTTGGTCGTAATCATCCCCAGTTCCCAGGTACTCCTTTTCCCGCTCCGAGCCCGGAACCGGCCGCAAGGGTCCCCTGGATCTCTTTTTGCTGTCAGTGTTTTCTGGACTGAAATTGAAATTAGTATAGTTTCAGTTTCTGGTAAACAAACATAGCTATTGAAAATGGCCCAGTCGAAATAGTGGATTTACCCATTAAGCATGGTGATTTTCCATAGTTTTTTGTATGTTTACCAGAGGGTAGGATGTTTCTACAGTCAATCAGTCAACTAATGTAAAAACCAGACTCATGATTTGATGTGCGTTTCATTTCAGTTCACTGGATCTCAAGTCATCCCACATCACTGCAGAGCTGGCGACGCCAAGGTCTTGATACGCCGGGTCTGGGCCAAGCCTTTGTGGATGAGGCATCGGCAGGGTTTGATGGCCATTTTTTCAATGGGGAACTGGAGGTTTTTTCACATCGGAATTTTTGGTAGCCAACAATGCCAACATTTAGATTTAGACAAACGCCATGGTGTGATTGATGTTGATCATGGTTGATCTACCCTCTGGTAAACTAAGATAGCTATTGAACATGGCCATTTATGGTTGATTTACCTATTAAAAATGGTGATTTTCCATAGTTATGTTAGTTTACCAGAGGGTACATTCTACATCTTCTGAGGAGCTGTTGATGTTCAGAACATGGCCATGCCTTGGTTGCATTCCCACTTCTTGTTTCGCCTGTAAACCCCAGATCTTACAGTTTGTTGTTGTTTGTCCCAATTTTCAGGTCAGGAGCCTTCGTTTAAGCAAAGATTAGCAAAGATCATGCATTTCTATACATTTCTATTCTATATCATCTATATCATGCTGCGCAGTCTCTTCGGAACTCATCCCATACCCGCCATACCCCACCTGGCGCCCTGTCCCAGGTGGTCTGGCTCTTTCCAAGAGACTTCTGTCGGAAAGCCTGGCGGTTGGCACCCACCATTTCACGCCTGGGTTGAAGACCCTGGGATGGTCCTGATTTTGGATCTGAAAAATCGCTGTGGAACTTGAGTCTACAGTTTGTCAGTCAAAATTATGATCCCTGCAATAGTGCTTTTTTGTGCAATCAAGATAATTTTTTCCCTATATTGAAACTGGAGGTCATTGAAGATAACATCCCTCTAATTACTGAAGGGTAACATCCCTAGAGTCCTAGAGATGGCCATCCATGCGGAACTCTCCTGTTGCTGGCTCGAGCTCGAGGCTTGGAGCACATCGTGCTGTGGGGTCACGTCATCGAAAAGACCTGAAAGCCTGAAAGGTCGCGGCTGCGCGGCTGCCAGGTTTGGTCCAGAAATGGGGGACTTCACGGAGCATTTTGCATTTTGGAGAGATATGGGGGTGGGTCAAAACCTATTACTATCAATTCTAATGGGATGAACATCCATTTACCAGCTATTTTGGGGTTCACTAGGTGCCAGGGTTTTGACCAATAGCCATATCGATGAATGCCAGAGAGCTCTAGAAACTAGGAGAGCTCGTTGATCCCCCGAACCACTGGGGAGCTACTCTCAGAAATGTCATCTTTTTGCGGCTTGAACATGGTACGTAACCTTGGATCAAATCCCCGCAGTGCGCAGTGCGCAGTGCGCCGTGGTGCGGTTTGGCGCGAGGGGTGGGACAGATGAAGGGATCGGAAAGGGGTGGTTTTTATATGTTTTTATACCAATCCCAAAATGTCATTCAAGTCAAGATACCCCCAGCAAACAATCGAGTCAACAATGAACCAACCGAAAAATGAAGAACACATCTCAAGATATCTCAAGGAACACTGGACTTCAAAATTGATGAAGAGTTCATAGTTTGACTCTACAACGATTGTGTTGCTCCATCCTTGAAATTTCAGTATTTGGAAGCTCGTTCACAATTTTGTCGAAGACAGGATGTTCAAACGAGCTCAGTGTTGACACGGCGAGGCAATTATGAGAAATTTCTGAATCGACCCTGGACCCGGTAGGTTAACGGATTGTTTTTCTTTTCCCATACATGCGGTAACATAGGCTTTTTCCTTTGGCCATGGCTATATAATGTGTGAATACCCTCCAGACAGACGTAGCTATGGAAAATCACCATTTCAATGGGTGAATCATCTGTCAGTGGGCCATTTTCCATGGCTGGAAATCTCACGAAACAGGCAGCTGTTGATTTCCCTTCACCTGCAGCACCCCGCACAAGCGGCTACAGTATGTGCCAAGTTTCACCAGGGTTTTCAAGAGCGAACCTGGCATCAGAACATCCGAATCTCCGAACTTCTCGAAATTGTTCAAAAGCCAATGTTGGTTGGGAATGATTTAGGGTGTGATGTTATGTTGTTTTTTTTGGATTACCTCATATATTATAATATATTGGGCGGTATGATAACCCATAGGGACACTAAAAATTCACCAAACACGATAATATGGGCATCTAAAATACATCGAGACCCACTTAGCACAGGATTTCCATTGCGATGTCGCCAGCGTGGCAGCTGCTCAGCTGGTCATGCGACAGCAGTGCAAAATTCGTGGCAAGTTCAGGAGGGTTTGACCAGAAAGAGGGGGATCTAAGCAACTAACATGGGGATAACTGGTTGGTGGTTTGGAACATTTTTTACTTTTCCATATATAGGGAAGAATAATCCCAACTGACTCATATTTTTCAGAGAGGTTGAAACCACCAACCAGTTACCCTCAGGTAATGAGACATGGCTAGCTGGAAAACCAAGTATGTATGGACCTTTTATTTTTGGGGCATTTGCCATTGCCTCGTTTGATTACCGGAGTGATTATACAAAAGACAGGGATAACACCAAACAAGAATAGGAATGTTGAGTATCAACATTGGGACAAAACCAACAAGAACGAGGACATTGAGTTGTGTATATAGTACATACAACTTCCAAAGTTTGAATAGCCAACATACTCAAACTGACCCACGAGACATGGATGCTTTTCAGGATGTGCATCCCAGTTTGCTATGGAACATGGCCATTGACATGGTTGATTTACCCATTAAAAATGGTGTTTTTCTATAGTTATTTGTATGTTCACCAGAGATTATATATTTAAATCTAGGTAAATTATAGTAATTCACTAACCTGAAATAAGGCCATTTGGGGATGATTTCCAATACTAACCATGATTCCCAGTGAGGTCGCAGTGAGGTCGCAGTGAGGTCGTTATAATTTACCCAGTTAAATGTATGGAATACCAGTTGTGGTTCATAGAGTCATAAGCCACTGAAACGACTCCTGAGACGCACATCCGTTTCAACTCAGAAACCACGTCCAGTGACTGGTACCGATTTTTTGATAACCTACAATGTTATGCGCCAGTTATGTTTGTTGATTTATGGTTAGTAAATCCAAATAACATCAATTTATACTATAGATTCTATAGATAAATAACACCCAATAACTATGGATTCTATAGATAGACCATGATAGACCTACCATAAACCCTGGTTACATCCTCTACTTCTAAACCAACTGAGCACCTCGTAGTTGTGAGGCGGGGACAACCTCAGAACAACCAATTTGCCGTCCGTCAGCTGGTGCCGGCTGCGTTCAGTGTGACTTCAACTGATCCACAGGAAACATGTTTTGAACATGGATATTCTGTCAGAAGACACCACTAAGCTTGGGAAGTCATCCAAAATCTCTTTAGGTTGCATTTGAACTCTAGTAACTTCAAACTTACAAAAAAAGGTGGCCACGAAAAAAACCAGCGAAATTTTCTTCACATTTGGAGTTCGACATCATCGTAGCCCATGACAGGAATCACCAATTTTTACGAAGCGAATCTGAGACTGCCCCAACGTCCGCCGTCCGCCGAAATTTCCGGACCGGAGAACGGCCGCCATGGTTTCGAATCCAGAGCTGCGAGGGGCCACTGGGTCCAATATACTGTAAAACATGATATTTAGATATATATAATTATATATATATATATATTTAAACATATTATATATTTATATAGTTTACGGGATATATACATGCCATAATTATTATTGTTATTGTTAATCATAATTATTATTTATTATTGTACTGCATATATCTCATAATACATACATATGTATATGTATATATGTATAACATATATATTTAATATACAGTGTATATATATAATATATAATATATATATAATTTCATATATCAAGAGTGGGGTCGTGAGAATGTCAGGGCTAGATGTGGATATATAAATAGATATTTGACTAGGCTAGGGAGCGCCTTCGATGCAATTTTTAAACAAACTGTTTTTTTCATTTGATCAATTCAATTTGGCTGTGCGCTTAACCTTGCAATTTTGCCACTGCATTTGCTCTCCGTGCAATTCCTTCCTCAGCCGTAGCCTTAGTAGCCTTGAGAGATGTTCCAAGAGCCGAAAAAGCGAGCAGATTGCAGACGTTGCATAATTTCATTGTTTCCGTATTTTCTCATCAACATGCATACATGCAAGCATACATGGTGACCCCAAAGGGTTGAGCTTCAGCCGTATACGAAACCGTTGTGGCCATCGTCTCAATGGTGGCCATGGTCTGTGCTGCACGCGCTTTCGTTTGGTCATTGACCGTGCTATCAATTCTCAGTGTTGGACTTGGTCATGACAGCTGTTGCGCCAAGGCAGCCATGGTGGGAGAAAGTGAAGTGACCATGGTACCCGATATGAATGCAAGAAAGCCAGAGGACTGGGATGATGAAGAGGACGGACCATGGGAGCGGCCATTAATTCCCAAACCACCTGATGCCGTGGTGACTATTTTTTTCCGAGATCTCTTGAACACATTGGAAGATGCGAGTCCCTGGCTTCTGCTTGGACTTCTTCTAAGTGGGGTCGTCAAAGCCGTGACTCCAACAAGCTTTGCTCAGCAGATGCGTGGCTCAGGCGGTCTCCCATTGGCCAAAGGTGCCTTCTTGGGATTGATGAGCCCTTTGTGCAGCTGCAGCGCCCTACCAATGACCTTAGGGCTTGTGACGGCAGGTGCCAGTTCAGGAGCTGCTGTTGCTTTTGTTGTCTCAGCTCAGGCTGCAGGCGTGGACTCTCTCCTCTTCACAGTTGGAATTCTGGGCCTGCGCTGTGCCATTGCGAGAACTCTTGCAGCTGGCCTCTTGGGGATGGCAGCGGGCTTTGTCACGCCCTCTGGCGCAAACGGGCTCAACAGAAGCAGCAAAAGAATGGCTGATCCTGATGCCTGTCCAAGCACTTCTGGAAGTTGGCTTCAATGTGTAGGTAGGGGCCTTCAAGAGGCTTTGACTGATGACTTCGATGAGATTGCACCATCTCTCATGCTGGGCTTCAGCATCGCTTCACTACTTGCTGCGCTGTTGCCTGCCGGTGGTCTTGCGCAGATAGCTTTGCTGGGAGGCCTTTGGGGCCGTGCCTCTGCAATTGCTGTCGCTCTACCTCTGCAGTTCTGCGAGCATGCTTCTGTTCCATTGGCAGTTGCCTCCTGAACCCAAACCATTCATTCATTTGTTGTCATACATCAAAACGTATTATCAGTGTTTGGTGAGGGGATTACATAAGGATTGTCTCCTCGATATGTTGTACACCCTTCTGGTTCAAGTGCCTAAGATATGCTAAGATCTGAAGTTTTTTCTGCACGATGGCCTCCTGAGGCTCTCCAGAAAGCAGGGGCCACCGGCGGCCTCTCTTTTGCCGTTCTTGCATCCTTGCCCGCAATCAACTCAGCCTCCATCGCACTGGTGGCTCAACTGGCCGGCCTGCGAGCAGCGTTGCAAGTTCTTCTTATGATTTGGCTATGTGGAATTTCTTTGAGCTACATCGCTGACTTTGCCAATGCAGAGGTGGTCCAGGAACCGACCTCAGCACATGCTTTCCTATGGAAACCTTTTTGTGTGAAAGATACGCCTGATTTTGGAAAGGAAGAGTTGAGACAAAATTATTATATATAAACTCGTGGAGTGGGAGTGGGACATATAATAATGGTACCACGAACAATCACTTCCCCGTGTTAGAGAATGCAGAAAGGGCTTGTGGCTGATACTGAATGTGCAAGAGCCTTTGCATTGTATTGACCCCATGCCCAGAGGTGAATTTGATGCTAGATTGCTAGATACGTAGAGAGATACTGTTAGACTGAGACCGATAGGTTCCCACTCTTCTAACATGATCAGAGATCTCGACTTCGCGGAGAGGTGCCCCGGGCAGCATTGCCCCGTGCTGCGCATGACCTTTAGTACAAATATATATATATATATATTTATATATATATATATATTTATATATATACATATATATGATTCCTACAT